GTCAGAATAAAAGATGAGAATCTATAAAATGGAGAGTTTAGCAATTCTTAGACAAATATGAACCTCAAAGTAAATGAACCGTTACTAGTTTGTTGTGTACACCTAAGCATTTCGTGTTCCATATACACTTCAGTTTCGTTTCTGCAGTCTGTGAGATTGTGCGGAATTCATAAACATATGTTTTGCATAAGCAAACACTCTCCATCTTCAATAGAATGGAAAGTTCCTTCCTTTAGTCTTCTTTGCCCTTATTACTGCTATAGGACTAGATTCTGGCAAAATTATGTAAGTGGAGATAATTCACGTAAATTCTGAGAATTGTCACTTCGTAAAAGAGGGTTTCTTTTTCCTTCCTGTTTAGGCTTACTAAGGTTGCAAAGCAGATATGAATGCAAGCCAATCAGAGTCGTGAGTGAGACAACACACAAAGATGGCGAATCAACAAGACAGAACATAGCCACGGCCTTGATCCCATTGCACCCCCCTGCCCATTCCTCCTGACCTCTGAGACTATACCAGGTCTTTCTCTGCCTTGGTTTGCACCAAATTTGGATGCTTAATTCTTGTAGCTGTGGTTTCAGCTTTTTGTTCCCTAGTCATATATGCTTGTATTCAGACCTTTCATATGGAAGGGTCAGGAAAATGAGGCACGAGGACATTTTTATAAAAGTTAACCAGACATGGGGCTGCCGCCTGCAGTACCGGCATCCCATGTGGGTACCGGTTCGTGTTCCCAGCTGCTCCACTTCCAATCCAGCTCTCTGCTATGGCCTGGGAAAGCAGTAGAAGATGGCCCAAGTCCTTGGGCCCCTGCACCCATGTAGGAGACCCCTAAGAAGCTCCTGGCTCCTGGCTTCAGACTGTCACAGCTCCAGCTGTTGCAGCCATCTGGGGAGTGAACCAGCAAATGGAAGACCTTTCTCTCTCTCTTGGTCTCTCTCTCGGTCTCTCTCTCTCTCTCTCTCTCTGCCTCTCCTCCTCTGTGTAACTATGACTTTCAAGCAAATAAATAAATCTTTAAATAAAATAAGTTAACCAGACTTAAGCTAGAAGCCCTTAGACCTATTTCTTAGTCTGTTTTCTGTTGCTGTAACTATATATCTGAAACTGAGTAATTTATTTTAAAAAAAGAGGTTTCTTTTGGCTTCTGAGGGCTGATGTAGAACAGATAAAAGAGGGCTGAACTCCAAGGCTGCCAGCCCATTACCCAGATAACAGTATTTATTAAGTCATGAGGACTCTGGCCCACACTCAAAGCCCTTATAATAGGGCCCCACCCTCCAATATATGCAGAAAAAGTATCTGATAAAGCTCAGCTTCCCTTCTTGATAAAAACCCTGACCAAATTATGTATGAAAATTGAAAAGAAGTCAAAATTACAGATAATATGATCTTGGCATATGTATGCAATGGAATATTATTCAGCCACAAGCAGTATAAATTCTGTCATTTGTCACAAAATTAATGGAACTGGACAGTGAGTGATGTAAGCCGGCCTCGGGAAGACAGACACCACACACCCTCACCCATTGGTGGAAGCTAAGAAAGTACATCACACGAAAGTCAAGAGTCAACTAGGGGTCACTAATGAGTAACAAGCTCTGTGGAAGAGGGAGGAGGGGGAATCACTGGTACCAAGTTGCCATGGCGGTGGGGGTAGTTCTAACAGCATCATTATTACAGGCTAACTATAGCCTGTAACAACTAGTTATACATTTCAAAATAACTAGAGGAGAGGAGTTTGAAGATTTCCCACAAAGGGATGATACTATTTGAGGAGATGGTAGTGCTAATCACCCTGATTGATCATTACACATTACATACATCTTCACAGATGCTTGTACTACTGAACCTGTAACTACAGACGCTAAGATCAATTAAAATTTTTCAATGCAAACTTTTATACAAATAATCAAATTTTTTGACTGAAACACTTATAAATATATACTTAGGGGCTATAATATGAAATTTCAAAAATGTCTATGTTACATATCTAATATACATTAGCAAATTACAGTGATTAGTATATGAATCACCTCAAATATTTATATCTTTATGCTGAGAACATTAAAAACCCTTCTCCTAGCCCTTTTGAAATATACAACATATTATTGTTAATTATAGTCACCATGATGAGGAAAACAACATCAGGAGGTTTCCTGCTATCGAAGTGTAACATTTTGCTTATGTACTAGACAATCCTCCCCTCCCTCCCCTTACCGCCCTATGATAACTCACTCTCTGCTCAACTTCTGTGGGATCAACTTTTAGAGTCTGTATGTAGTGAGATCATGGGGTCTTTGCCTTTCAGCGACTAGTTTATTTCACCCAAAATACGTCTTCCAGGTTCATCCATGTTGTGGCTAATGACAAGACTTCAACATTATTATTGATTCCATATCTTGGTCACTGTTGATGCTGCAATAAACATGAGAAAGTAGATGTCTTTTCAAGAGACTGATTTAATTTAATTTCTTTTGGTTATGTATTCAGTAGTGGGTTTGCTGCATTGTTAAGTGGCTCCATTTTTTAATTATTTTTATTCAATAGTGGTCTTTTTGCACAAAGTAAAACTAAAAAAGTATGTTTGAACATTTTTAATTTAAGCATTTTGATTTCACTAGTCTGACATACAAGTATTGAAATAAGGAGAAATAATCAAGATACAATGAATAATGAAGATTTCATTATGATTTAAAAATTCATTTGTTAAGAAATCTGTTGTCATTAAAAAGGAAAAGGATTAAAGTGCTTGCTTCCCACACCATCAGCCATCCTCTCTCTCTCTCCACCTCTCTCTCTTTCTCTCTCTCCCTCTCTCTTACAAAACTGATACAAGTTATTAGATGCTCTTGAAAATCATCACAAATCAGTTTTCAGCACTTCTTGAGTACAGACTGGGATTTTTTTCTTCTTCTTTTTAAACTAAAGAAAGATACTAGCAGATAATACCATACAGATTTAAAGCTTAGTTTTTAGAACAATACACAAGGGCTAGACAAGCATGAGAAATATTACATAACTCATCCAGCTGGAATCGGTTGCATTTCATCACAATTCCACTGTTCTTAAGATCAAACAGAAACATTCAAAGCTCTAAAGTCTTTTTTTTCCTTCCACTATCAAGGTCTTAACCTACAATACGTTCTTTGAAAGAGCATAATACACTTTTATTTTTTGAATGAGTGGATCTGGAGAGGTCTGTTTTCCATGTTTTATCTGCTTCTACACAATGCCTGTCCTAAAACACATTTCTACAGATTTTGTGGAGCAAGCCTCTCCATTAGAAATCCCTTTAGATGCCTAACATTTATCTTTGTAAGTAAAGGTGAGCAAAGTAGTGGAATGTGGGCGTGGTTTAAGAATGTCTTTAGGTGAAACACCACATACACGGTTAGTCTGGCATATTTCTCCAACCTAAATTGGCTGAACTGGTATTATCCAAAGCATAAGCTTCCTGGGTAATGGGAAGCTAATCCATATACATGAAACCCTCTGTGCCTAACTAATAACTCAAGGGGCTGGTAGAGTCTTCTCTGTCCAAATCTACTCAGTATATGAAGTTAAAATGTTAACTACAGTGTAACTTAAAGGATTTTAGGGGCCATGCTGTTGTGCAGCAGGTTAACGCCCTGGCCTGAAGCGCTGGCATCCCATATGGGCACTGGTTCTAGTCCCGGCTGCTCCACTTCCAATCCAGCTCTCTGCTATGGCCTGGGAAAGCAGTAGAAGATGGCCCAAGTCCTTGGCCCCTGCACCCGCGTGGGAGACCCGGAGGAAGCTCCTGGCTCCTGACGTCGGATTGGCGCAGCTTTGGTCGTTGTGGCCATCTAGGGAGTGAACCAGCAAATGGAAGACCTCTCTCTCTCTCTCTCTCTCTCTCTCTCTCTCTCTCTCTCTACGTCTCCTTCTCTCTCTGTGTAACTCCGACTTTCAAATAAATAAATAAATCTTTTTTTTTAAAGGATTTTAGCACAGGCATCCATATGCCGTTTTACTGCAAGATATTCTTCTGGTGGACTCAACAAGCCTGAGAAAGCTTTCTCACTGGCAAGGTCCAAATCAGTGAATCAGGGGACCGGTGGGAGGACAGCAGGAAAGTAGGGAAGCCGGCTAGAAACCAGTGGTTTGTGGTACAATGATTAAAGACAACATTTAGAATATCTCCAGGACCAAGATAACATATCTTCACTGATGGTGAATGAAGATACAAGAGAACAAGGGACTTGCTCCCTCACTTTAATGTTTAAGCTACATAATTTGAAAAATAAGGCAGTCTACCAAATCCCATGCGACCTTACTGTTCTGTATGCTGTCACTAATTTGAAAAGTTAATAACATAGGGTCAGGAAGAGATTTCCACTTCCTATCTCTATTGAGGTACAAGAGGTTAATGGACATCAAGGGCCTGTTTATTGAAAGAAGTGAGGTGATCTATGTATCTGCTTTTGTTTTGCTTTTGGTTTAAGCCCTGTAGGCTCTATATTTTTTTCTGCCAAAAATGAGCATTGCAATTTCTGACTCATGGAGTTTTGAAGAAGTAACTAACACATTTCACAAAGGTTGGCACTTTAGTGGGAACTAGTAAATGTCAGCTGTAATTTCTATCTGGATAACGCATTGGCAGGAACAAACTTCTTTGGAGTTGCTTTATCCCATTACCAAAAACCCACTATGTCTTTAAATCTGGCTAGAATTGTAAAACTATCAAATAATTAAAGACATGCCTTTGAAGTGATTTACTCTTAGGATCTACTGAAAGAAAAATTGGATTCTATGTCTGCCAAGAATAACCTCATTAGATGATGAAATCTAGGCAACGGATTCCGCACTTCATAAAGAAATGACAAATTTAATGAATATCGCTGAAGTCCAATTTTTTTCTCCACCTGAGAGAATTTTGAGGGGAAGTTTATAGAGCTACAAAACAAAAAGGCATTTTTAACCAAAAATAAGCATTTTTTTTTCTATGAGCTCTCAGCAGGAGGGAAAATTGGGAGTATGGGTTAGGCTGTGTTGATTAGGTAGCCACAGTGAAAAGTGCAGGTCAAGAAACATTGTTCTGAGTACAGACATGGAAGAGAGCTGTGAGACACGCTGCTCTCCTTGTGTTATTTTACTCGTGACTATAGTCACGTCCTTAACTTGGTTCATTTCAGTGAGAAGACTTGGAGCTTTTTGGCCATGTGCTTTACAGCATCTTTCACCTGTTTGTTTCTCAGCGTGTAAATAAAAGGATTCAGCATGGGTGCAACAGAGGTGCTGAGCAGGGCTATCCCTTTATTCAACGACACCCTTTCCTTTGCAGAGGGTTTCACGTACATGAAGATGCAGCTTCCGTAGGAAATGGACACAACCACCATGTGGGAAGAACACGTGGAAAAGGCTTTCTTCCTCTGTTGAGTAGAAGGTATGTTCAGAATAGTCCCGAGGATGTGCGTGTAGGAAAGAATCACTAACACCAGTGTGACCAGGAGTGTCAAGATGGCTGCCAGAAGCATCATCAGTTCGATGGTGTCTGTGTTTGTGCAAGAGAGCTGCAGTATGGGGGAAACATCACAGAAGAAATGATCCACGGTGTTGGCAGCACAGAAGTCAAGCTGCAGACCCATCACGAGGGGTGGGAAAATGATCAGGAAACCAGCTAACCATGAAGCAAAGACAAGCAAGTTGCACACCCTGGGGCTCATGATGGTCATGTAGTGCAGAGGCTTGCAGATGGCCACATAGCGGTCAAAGGACATGGCAGCCAGCAAGAAAAACTCAGTGGCTCCCAGGAGAATAGTGAAAAACAGTTGTGCCGCACAATCGTTGTAAGAAATAGACCTATCACCTGTTGCCATACTAACAAGAAATTTGGGGATACAGACGGTTGTGAAGGAGATTTCTAAAAATGAGAAATTTCGGAGGAAGAAATACATAGGGGTCTTGAGATGTGAATCCAGTAGGCTAAGGGTGATGATGAGAAGGTTCCCGGTGACACTCAACATGTAGGTGAATAAAAGGAGAAGAAAAAGGACCACCTGTAACTGTGGATCATTTGTTAGGCCAAGAAGAATAAAGGCTGTCACTGTTGTGTGATTCCTCATCGTTGGCTTCTATTTCTTAAAGAAAATAAGAAGCAATTAGAAATGAGGAGGGAAGGCCTGCACAACACATCCATTTCACTTGAGGTTCTCCAAATACACACACACACACACACACATGCACGCACACACACATTGCTCCCCACACCCAACTTCTCTGAATATTCTGCTAGTCATTAGCAGCAGCCAATAAACATTTTCTTGTAACAGTCTTGGCTCAAAATTTCAGTAACTAAATAAACACAAGTCTTTGAGCTTGTTTTCTTTCCTCCAGGTCCATAAGCCCAGCCATTGCAAAATGATAACATCTCATTGATAAACTCTTATAATGTAAAAACAAAGAAGCAGAACATCTATCCTGTTGCAAATGTTTTCTTCTCTATCATATTTCAAAGTTTTTCCAACACATTTACTTTACATTGAATTATTTTACACTACCTAGTGACTCATTCCTCCTTGCTAAACAAAGCTCCTTCATTGTTATGACTCTCTTTCATAGACGTTGCTGTTCCGTCGTAAAATCAATGAAAAGTTGACATGAGCACCTCCAGGTGTGGAGTGCGAGCTGAATTTCCTCATCAAACTTCTGAACCCTCGTGAAGATTTACATCCTCACGAACACTGTCCATTCTGCTTGCCTGGTTTTCCTGAAGATTTGCATTTACTTCTTTCTTTATGTTCTGAGTCTTGACTGTATTTTGATCTTTACTTTTATTTTGAGAGATATTAGCTTTTTCAAAGCTAATATTTGTGTTTGCTTGACAAATCTTAACTCTATATATCTTACCTTGTTGGGCTCTTTTCTCTGATATAGTCCCCCGCAGACATAAAGCATGTCCTCACACATAAGGATTGTGTTACTCACCTAGTATGTAAGTACTGGGATTCCGACTGAAGGTTTGCAATGACAAAGGAGGGTTTCACAAAAGAATCTATTTAAAAACTAAAATGTTGAGTGGCCACCCCTAGTAGTTGTTGTTAGCACCACTGCTCTGCGTGTTTCTCTCCAGAGCAGCCTCTTTTCTTCTTATTCACATCAATCACCCCTCTACTTTCTTTCAGATTTAAGACATTACAATTCAAAATTTTGTTAATTTCTTTCTTATTGTTATATCTTCTTTAAGATCATACAAAGGCTCTCATGTTTATCCCCTACAAAATCCAACATCCGTCTTTCCTAAAGAATGATAGCCCTTTCCTTATGAAGAATATTGGGTCATATGTTAAATTGTGTTTGAACCTTACTATATTTTGCATACTCCAGCTCTGGTGTTAAAAAAAAAAGTATGAATACTCATAGATGATTACAAAATAACTAATATTTTTGTCTTAACCTCACTTATTTTTATTTTTACTTTTTCTCCTTATTTTTCCATTCTTTTCAATTGAGCACTCTATTAATGTCTCTATCCCAGTCATTTAAATATAATTCATACTCATTACCAAAATTATTCTCAGATTCAAGGCACAGTCTATATTAAGGCTAAAAACTTAAAAAAATCAATCCACAAAGATATGTTATATAGCGTGGCAGAGTACAAAAAGTCAGGAGTGGATTTATACAAATACACAGATCCTGTCAAGCCTAAATTTGAATTGCAAAGCAAAACAATTATAAATTATGTGACATCATTGGTCTGTTTCTTACTCCCAAAGTTAAATTCTGGTTAGATGATAGCAAAATAATCTTATGTTTCCAACCATAATTATAATCCCAGCAGCATTTTTGTGGCTATTATGGTAATTTATATGTGAAACATTCTTACAGGGTATGAAAAGGTGATTTTACATGAAATCTTTATGGAAAGCTATGGAACTCAGTAAATGTGTTCAACAAATATGAGAGAAGATTTCTCATATTCAGGAAAAGTTCATACTTTGTGCCCTATTTCAGATGTCAGATATAATGCACATCCCCACAGACTACTGTGCAAACTCCGCACATAAACAATGATAATTATCATGAGGCAAGCATGTATTCACTTAATAAAACATCTAAAGTATGCTGCGAAGAACATCTACAAAATGAAAGTTTCAAAGATTTCTTATGATATAGAATTGATTTTCAATATTACTTCCAAAACCACCAGTTTAATGCTTATTTTGCAAAGCAAAGCAAAACAAAACAATAGTTCTAACTGCTTGCCTTACTATTTCTATAGTTTTACAAGAGAATGATTTTTTTTCTCACTCCATTCAACAAAATTACTCTGATTAAAATAAAGACACATTTATGCAAACCTTAATTTCTTCAGCAGTAATTTTTTTTCTTGATTTTATTTGGATGTTAACTCCTGGAGAAGCAATTTCTGAATGTTGCATATCCATCATCTATTTTTATACTGCTTCAACCCATATTTTTATCTTGATTTCTCATCTAAAGATACGTTAGCAACAGCAATGTTCACTTAGGATGTTTAAGCAAAGACTTATTCATGACTGTGTTTCTTCTTGGAATTTTTTGTCAAAAAAAAAAAAACAGGCAATGTTCTTCAATGTATATTACATTGTAACCACAGTTTCCTTGGCTGAACATAAAATATTTATCTTTAACTAGAAAGGAAAGAAAAAAAGAATTTCAGTTATGGTTACTCTGATATTTCTAGCCTCCATGAGCAATACATAGGCTTACTCTGTAGATTTGCAAGAACTATAATCCCTTTTGATACTGCAAAACTTGTCTCAAGAGGATGAGATGACTTCAACACTTCTAAAGAAAGAAATATTTCCCATGAGACCACTGTGCTGGGATGTTAAAAATGCACCTTTGTTAATAGTTTGTTGAGTTGTTAAAACTGAAATCCAAAAATTTATGTTTAAACAGGAGACAAAATTACTTTTTAAGGCAGTAAAATGTGGAACAACCTAAGGGGGTTTTGAGGAGGAGATCTGCCAGTTCAGATGTCTATGAGAAATACACATTTCAATCAAAAGAAATGAAAGTCACCTACAAGGAGTTTGGAAATACAAATGTTACTAGAATTTCAAACTCAAATTCATTCAATAATGGGCTCATAGTGTGCTTCCCTGGGTTAAGTCTCTACAGATCATGTCACTGAGTGGGATTTAGAGAATTTAATCATCATTGTCAAAGACAATAGTAAGCGGGATGACATTTCCATTTAAGGATTAGAATCAGAGATCTGAATGTCAAAGAAATAGGCACAGTGCTGAGATTCTCAGGAAGATATGTGAGAGACACAGGTGTTTGCTTCTGCTCTCCAAGTGGTCACATCTAATCTTCAGAAAAAAATATTCAAATTTATTCCACATAAAAGTGATGTTTCAAGTGCATTTATTTACCTGTCTACATTTCCACTGCTGAGTGGTTAAAGTAATACTAGCTACTATGGCAGATAAATTTTAAAGTGATTGGGGCATTAATGTAACAAAGTTAAAAGAGCATTCGGGGAAGGCAATGATCCTAATTATTCAGCACGATCACTTTCCACAAACTGAACATACATACCCATGTGAATAGCACTCAGAAGAAGAAACAGAATATTAACCAGTAATTGTAAATCCTTGCTCCTAATCCCTTCACGTCATTAATCCTTTAATGTTAGACACCATCCTTAATTCCAATAGACCAGAGGATACTTACGACTGCACCAACAGATACATCTGGAGGCTTCTATCTCACACAGGAATGTTTACTATCATTTATCAACACCCTCAATAGCAATTTATTTTTTTGGTAACTATTTCTATTTTTTTAAAGATTTATTTATGTATTTGAAAGGCAGAGTTACAGAGAAAGGGAGTGATAGACAGAAAGAGATCTTTCATCTTCTGGTTTACTCCCCAAATGGCCACTACAGTTGGGGCTAGGCCAGGCTGAAGCCAGGAGACCGAAATTCCATCCTGGTTCCCCACATACTTGGGCCATCTGCACCTGCCTTCCCCAGGTGCATTAACAGGGAGCTGGATCAGAAGAAGAGCAGTTGAAATTCAAACCTGTGCTCTTACATTAGATGCCAGCATTGCAGTGGAAGTTTGACCTGCTGTGCCACAACTCCTGACCCTCAACAGTGATTTCCTAACTTTTTAAATAAATTTACTCTTATTAAAAAATGAAAATATCTGTGTACAAGAAGATCTGAAAAATATTCACAGAAGTTTTATTTATAATGTCTAAACTGGAAATGCTTATTCTGCGATTAAATATTTTTGTGATTTTTGCATAGAATCCTCATGATTTAAGCAGAAATGTTAGTAATAATGTTTTTAGGCAGAAATTATAAGTTTCCTTTAAGGCTTTTTCTTTTTTAAAAACAGATTTATTTATTTATTTGAAAATCAGAGTTACAGAGAAAGAGGGAGAGACACAGAGGGAGAGAGGTCTTCCACTTACTGGTTCACTCCTTCAAATGCCTGCAGTGGCCAGGGCTAGGCCAGCCCAAAGCCAGGAAACAAGAGCTTCTTCCTGGTCTCCCATGCGATGGCAGGGTTCCAAGCACTTGGGCCATCTTCTACTGCTATCCCAGGTATATTAGCAAGGAGCTCGGTCAGAAGAAGAGCAGTTGGGATACAAACCGGCACCCATATGGGATGCCAGCATCGCGGGCAGCAGTTTAACAAGCTATGCTTGGGTGCTGACCCATAAAGCTTTCTTTCTTTTTTTTTTTTTTTTTTTTTTCAGCGTGATAAGGTTTATTTACAAAGTGAGCACATGAGGGCTTCATTTAGGGAGATGGGCCAAAAAGTTAAAAATGGAATTTCATGCCCTGCTCTGCTTGTCCTGGGTGCACGAGGTAGAGAGCGAGAGCGAGAGAGAGAGAGAGAGAGGGCATTCCTCTCCACCAAGTTTGTTAAGAGCTTTGAAAAGGCAGAGTGGTTCCATAGTACTGACCCCAGGTTCCAGGTAAGAGGAGGTTCGTCCTGGGGCAGGGTCATCTGATTAACATATGTGTTAATAGGATTTCATGGAGGTGGGAAAGGTGTAGCCTCCAGCTCATGAACTATCCATCTCCCTGACTTTTCCCACATCATTACCCATCAGAGATTCTGACCCCTAATCTCAAGAGGATGCTGAAGGATGTAGAGTCATCATATCTTCTGTGCCTACTTCCTGCTGACCATGGACGCAGCCCCTGCCTCTCTCAGGTCCGGAAATATCTTCCTGTCCCATCTGATGAATCCACTTCATGAGCTGGAGAATTTCCAGTCACCACCAATGGCTGTGTGCCCTACATGGTCATCATTACTTTTAGAAGTTGGTGAATTCTGAAACACAGAAGTATATCAATCAGTATGAGCAAAACTGGAGAAAAACAAATTGCAAGTGGGAAATGTTAAAGTAAAATCTTTCCTTAATTGAACCCATAAGCAGGACCTTTCAGCTAAGCATATTTGAAAAGCTTGATACATATAAAGTATTTATTTAAAGTTTGGTCAAATCACTTTTTTGTCAAGTTTATCTTTTTCTGTAAGAAAGTATCTCTCAATTGCTTTGAGAAATGAAACAATTCATTCAAGTCTTTTTTTTTTTTTTTTTTTTTTTTTTGTGTTTTTGACACAGCAGAGTGGACAGTGAGAGAGAGAGAGACAGAGAGAAAGGTCTTCCTTTGCCGTTGGTTCACCCTCCAATGGCCGCCGCGGCCGGCGCGCTGCGGCCGGCGCACCGCGCTGATCCGATGGCAGGAGCCAGGAGTCAGGTGCTTTTCCTGGTCTCCCATGGGGTGCAGGGCCCAAGCACCTGGGCCATCCTCCACTGCACTCCCTGGCCACAGCAGAGGGCTGGCCTGGAAGAGGGGCAACCGGGACAGAATCCGGCGCCCCGACCGGGACTAGAACCCGGTGTGCTGGCGCCGCTAGGCGGAGGATTAGCCTAGTGAGCCGCGGCGCCGGCCTCATTCAAGTCTTTTTGATCCTATAAACAAGATCAAGGTAAAATTACATGCTCAGATAACTCAAGCCTAGAGAAAGCTGATACAGCATAAGATTCAGATAAAATATGGGATTCACTCAATGTGTACTCACAGAAATCCAAATATGTGCTTTTCATTAAGTCTTAAATATACAGTGCTAGATGAAGTCCTTTGCATAATAATACTCACAATTCAGTGAGAATAAGCACATATTAATGAAATAATATAATTGAAATATAATAATAATTAAAGGTATCACGTATAACATATGGTGTGAAAGTGTCACGTACAAAATATGCAATTTAAGAGTCAAGTGGAGATGGAGCGGTAGTTATGTTGTATCTGTTTTCAGGGAAGCGTCCCCTGAGGAAGTTAGTTAGGTGATGTCTGGAGAAAGATAGGGAGAACAGTGTTTAAAGAAAAATCTTAGAGAACTTAAATTTAACAGAGTTTAACTGAGCAGAGCAAAAGATTCATAAACCAGTTAATGATCAGGTCTTAACAGAACGATCTCTCCTGCAACTGTGTGCAGGCTATGTTTATAGCAACAGAATTGCAAATGTCATTCCGAAATGGTCAGATTGGCTTCAGGTCAGTGTTTGCCTTATTTGGAAATAGCCTTCAGTCTATTGTTGGCTGAAGACTCAGCTGCTAAGATTGACTAAGGCTCCAGTATTTCCATCTGTTCCCTTTATGGTTTTGTCTTCTTTGGTAAAGAAATGCCTTCTTAAGAAACAACCTTATTGTTTTCCTAATGGGCAATACCATTTACATCCTTACCATCAATGAATAAGAGTTCCCGCTACTCCACATATTTGCCATCATTTGCTATTTTCAACATTTTAGAACTTAGTCGTTTTAACAGGTATATATTGTTGTCTTATTTTTGCTTCAATTTGTATTTCCCTTAAGACTTGTGATGTTTGGCATCTTTTCATATGTGTATAAATCATCCATATATTTTCTTCTGTGAGGCATCACCAATGATTTATGCTCTTAGCCTACTTTCTAATTGCATTGTTTATTTATTGTTGTTGACTTTTTAGAGTTCTTATATATATTTTGGTTAACAGTCCTTTGTCAGACGTGTTCTTTTCCAATATTTTCTCCTGGTTTGTGACTTGTCTTTCCTTTCTCTAGACACTGCCTTTCACAGAGCAGAAATTTTGAAGTTTAAAAAAATTAACTTTTCAATCCTTTCTTTCAGGGATTGTGTTTTTGGGATCATATCTAAAAGGCCATCAGCACACCCAACATCATCTCTATGTTTCCTATATTCTGCATGTGGTGCCATTTTGCATTTATGTTTGTAATCCATTTAAAGTTAAATTTTGTGACAGTGTAAGATCTAGGTCTAGAGCCTCTTATGCTTAGCACGGGCTCAATGAATGGATGTTGAGCTAAAGTGAAATCCCCAATCACCAAACTGAAATGTGATCAAGGGTCCCTTTTCTTTCTTTGCAAACACATAAGACTCTGTGGCAAGAACTCCTGCTCTCCCATGCGCCCCAGGAACACCTAAATATTGGGAAATATTTATGCTGGTGACAAGGATATTTTTAATTCTGAAAACAGGTTATTTTCTCTTTTCTTTTCTTTTCTTTTTTTTTTTTTTTTTTTTTGACAGGCAGAGTGGACAGTGAGAGAGAGACAGAAAGAAAGGTCTTTTGCCGTTGGTTCACCCTCCAATGGCCGCCGCGGCCAGCGCACCACGCTGATCCAATGGCAGGAGCCAGGTGCTTCTCCTGGTCTCCCATGGGGTGCAGGGCCCAAGCACTTGGGCCATCCTCCACTGCACTCCCGGGCCACAGCAGAGAGCTGGCCTGGAAGAGGGGCAACCAGGACAGAATCCGGCGCCCCGACCGGGACTAGAACCCGGTGTGCCGGCGCCGCAAGGCGGAGGATTAGCCTAGTGAGCTGCGGCGCCGGCCAAAACAGGTTATTTTCAATATTCCTGATTATTTGAGCTCATACTGTTATAATGGGTTTAGAACAAATGTGTCTGAAGGATTAGAAAAATTCCAGCAAGAATACGATCTTCTACTTGCTCAGAATTTTCCTACTGCTGCATCATCTCCCAGCATCCCTGGCGATTCAGGTCAGCTGGGCCTTCACAGGAGAGGTGCATCTGCAAGACACAGATCCACAGTTCTCAAGTAGTTGCTGAAAGAGGCCTGTGGTTGCCCTCAAGAGAAAGCAAGGGCCGGTTTATGTGGATACCGGGGTCCCTCGGGTCCTCCGTGTTCCCTTGCTTGGCTGAGGTGACAGAGAGTCCTTGCAGCCTTGCGGGATGCCAGGCTCCGCTGTCTGAAGAGCAGATGGGAAGGCGTGCTCCCTGAGCACCTGTTGGGCATTGGGGGCTACCCTGGGCCCCATACACATGTGATCCATGTCCTGATCTCAAGATGCCTACAGAATAGGAATGTTTGGGCCCATTTGACACACAAGACAAAGAGGTGCAGGGACATGAAGCAATTTGGCCACAACCACAAAGTGTGTGTCTGAGGCGGAATCCCTTCCCACATCCACCCCAATTAAGCTATACTTAATTCCCCTCAGAATCATTAAACAAAGCTTGGCTCCTGACACTTCTACAAACCCTGCAAGAGTACCTGGTCCCATCAGCTCTAACCCTGTAAGAATGCTTGATCCCGTCAGCACTGGCCCTCTTATTTGCTCCAGGTCCACCTAACTCCATCCCTGCTCTGCTCTACATGGAGTCTGTTCATAGAGGACTTGGCAGTCACATTGCTGGGCGTTCAAAATTCAGCTTCTCTCCACATGAGCTGTGTGACCTGGGGGATGTTATTTGATATCCTTGGTCTCAGTTTACCCATCTGCATAATGGGGATCCTGATGAGACCTACCTCTTGTGATGGTGTGCAGACGGCAAGGAATAAAATTTGCAAGGATCCTGGTACAATGCCTGGGATATAGGAGGTGCTTGATAAGTGTGGATTCCTGCTAATATTATTTATGATAAAACCACTTCACCACATTTCCTGATTCACCCCACATTCCCCCATCATTTTGAATATAGCATCTCTCCAAAAACACACCAGACACTGAAACTGTTTCAATAGCAGGTGCACGTCCCCCCTCCCCACTATGGCAATATTTTCTTACTTGAAGCTCCTAAGTTACCTCCCTGGAAAGAATAAAAATTAAAAACAGGAGCCAGCATTGTGGAGTAGCAGGTTAAGCTGCTGCCTAGGATGTCAGCATCCCATATGGGCGCAGGTTTGTGTCCCCGCTGCTCCACTTCTGATCCCTGCAAATGTCCTGGGAAAGCAGCAGAAGATGGTCCAAGCGCTTGGGCCCCTGCACCCATATGGGAGAACTGGAAGAAGCTCCTGGGTTTGACCTGGCCCAGTCCTGGCCCTTGAGACTATTTAGCGAATGAACCAGCAGATGGAATCTCTCTCTCTCTCTCTCTCTCTCTCTGTAACTCTAACATGCAAATAAATCAATCAGTCTTTAAAAATTAAAATAAAAACCACCATTAGCTCAGGATTCCTGGTCATTGGCTGCCTGTAAATCAAGTAGTGACGGCAGCTTGAGCCATGGAACAGGGGTAATGTATGCGGGCTTCTCCAGAACTGCCATACAGGGGACAGGTCAGCCAGTCTCCACTTCGTCCTCTTGTCAATGGGAAGAATCGGGTCTTCACTAATAGTTCAGCTATACTTTTTTTTTTTTGACAGGCAGAGTGGACAGTGAGAGAGAGAGAGACAGAGAGAAAGGTCTTCCTTTTCTGTTGGTTCACTCTCCAATGGTTGCTGTGGCCAGAGTGCTGCGGCTGGCACACCGCGCTGATCCGAAGCCAGGAGCCAGGTGCTTCTCCTGGTCTCCCATGTGGGTGCAGGGCCCAAGGACTTGGGCCATCCTCCACTGCCTTCCTGGGCCACAGCAGAGAGCTGTCCTGGAAGAGGGGCAACCGGGACAGAATCCGGCGCCCCAACTGGGACTAGAACCCGGTGTGCCAGTGCCGCAGACAGAGGATTGGCCTAGTGAGCCATGGCGCCGGCCAAGTTCAGCTATACTTAATTCCCCTCAGAATCATTAAACATAGCACCTGTTTCATTAAACAGATCCAGAACAATTCACCTTGTGCAATCATATCACATAAACTTTTGCTTTTGACTCATTCCAGAAAATCGTAAAATTTAATGTAATGGACCTAAAAGGAGGGAGGGTTGCCGGCGCCGCGGCTCACTAGGCTAATCCTCCGCCTTGCGGCACCGGCACAGCGGTCTGTCCCGGTCGGGGCACCAGTTTCTGTCCCAGTTGCCCCTCTTCCAGGCCAGCTCTCTGCTGTGTCCAGGGAGTGCAGTGGAGGATGGCCCAGGTGCTTGGGCCCTGCACCCCATGGGAGACCAGGATAAGTACCTGGCTCCTGCCATCGGATCAGCGCGGTGCGCCGGCTGCAGCGCGCTGGCCGCGGCGGCCATTGGAGGGTGAACCAATGGCAAAAGGAAGACCTTTCTCTCTGTCTCTCTCTCATTGTCCACTCTGCCTGTCCAAAAAAAAAAAAAAAAAAAAAAGGAGGGAGGGTGTGGAAGTCTCAGCTCAGCTATAATTGGGAGCTGGACAGGGCAAGGTGGGTGGATGTGTTCAACAGCTGAACCCAAGATGAGGGGCCACCCAGGAAGGGAGAGCCTCTGAGTGCACTTGAAAGTCAGCAGCATCCCTTGGTACTCACAGAGCTCGGGGTTTGAATCCCAGCTGAGTTCATGCCTGGACGCCCAGCCAAAAGACTGGCTGATTTTCTCACCAGTAAGATGAGTGCTGTCTGTGATCGTAACAGCCTAATTTTCTTTCTTTTTTTTTAAAAAAAAAGATTTTATTTATTTATTTGAAAGTCAGAGTAACACAGAGAGAGGAGAGGCAGAAAAAGAGAGAGAGAGCTCTTCCATCTGCTGGTTCGCTCTCCAATTGACCACAACAGCTGGAGCTGCACCTATCCAAAGCCAGGAACCAGGAGCTTCTTCCTGGTCTCCCACATGGGTGCAGGGGCCCAAGGACTTGGGCCATCTTCTGCTGCTTTCCCAGACCATAGCAGAGAGCTGGATCAGAAGTGGAGCAGCAGGGACTTGAACCAGCACCCAGATGGGATGGCCCTGTAGCAGCCTTTCTTAAATGAGATGGCGCATGTTCAGTGGCCACAAGTGCATCCCAAGTGAGTTCCCTCCCTTCTCCCTCAGGGTATCAGAATGCCTGGAAGGCAGTGGACCTGGGTCCTAGGGCCAGTCCTGCCACTATGTGCCCACATGGCATTGGTGGTCGCTGATTAATTGTCTGTGGACCTCAATTTCTCCATTAGTAAGCAGAGTCTGTGATTCTCATCTCTGTCTGCACATGGGTGGCAGCTGGGAGCCTTAAAATGCACTGGTGTCTGGATCCACCCCAGTAGGTAGGGGACAGCCTGGGTGTGCAGAAGTGATTATCTTCTCCATGCAGTTTATACCAGGGCACGTGGTGAAAGTGTAACACATCTTTAAGGTTCCCAGAGAGTGTGAGCTATGTGTCACATACACTCTTCAGCGCTTTTCATGTACTGCTTGTTCCGTTTTTCTGTGCTAGTTTGTTAAGCTGCACTGCTAAACTGATTTTACAACTTCACAACCCACTCTTGAGTTACATACAGATAGCAGAAAATCATTGCAGTAGAATTTCAGCAGGTTATCACTGAACTTAGTAACATTAATTCAAGAATGTGTTGTTCAATGTGAATTAATGCTATAACTAGTACTCAAACAGTATTTTTCACTTTGTGTTTCTATGTGGGTGCAAACTGTTGAAATCTTTACTTAATATATACTAAATTGATCTTCTGTATATAAAGATCATTGAAAATGAATCTTGAAGCGAATGGAATGGGAGAGGGAGCAGGAGATGGGAGGGTTGCGGATGGGAGGGAAGTTATGGGGGGGGGGAGCCATTGTAATCCATAAGCTGTACTTTGGAAATTTATAATTATTAAATAAAATTTTAAAAAATTGAAAGACTGTTAAAGGAGGAATACTTTTTTATTTAAAATAAAAATTTTAAATAATTTTCATTTATTTTTTTTTTTGACAGGCAGAGTGGACAGTGAGAGAGAGATACAGAGAGAAAGGTCTTCCTTTACCGTTGGTTCACCCTCCAATGGCCGCCGCAGCCAGCGCACTGCGGCCAGCGCACCGCTCTGATCCGATGGCAGGAGCCAGGAGCCAGGTGCTTTTCCTGGTCTCCCATGGGGTGCAGGGCCCAAGCACCTGGGCCATCCTCCACTGCACTCCCTGGCCACAGCAGAGAGGCAACCAGGACAGAATCCGGCGCCCCAACCGGGACTAGAACCCGGTGTGCCGGCGCCGCTAGGCGGAGGATTAGCCTAGTGAGCCGCGGCGCCGGCCAATTTTCATTTATTTAAACAGGAGGGAGAGAGAGAACAAGATCAACTTTCCATTCACTGGTTCAATCTCCAGATGCCTGCAACAGCCAGGCTAAGCCAGATTGAAACCAAGAGCTGGGGATTCAGTCTAGGTCTCCCATGTGGGTCAGAACCCAAATACTCAAGCCATCACTTTCTGTGATCCAAGATGCATATTAGCAGGAAGCTGGAATCAGAAGAGGAGCCAGAACTCAAACCCAGGCAGTCTGATGTGGGCTGCAGGTGTCCCACGGGGCATCTTAACTGTTGTGCCAAATGCCACCCCAAGGAGAAAGATTTAGAGGAATAGAAATGACCTTCCTCAAATTCTTCTCCCACTCAAAAAATATGCACCTCAACACGTCACAATTAAACTGAAATAGTCACTGCAAGTTGCACACTTGTGGTGGCTTTTAAATTTCCTGAAATTTGGGGCCAGCGCTGTGGCATAGCAGGTAAAGCCGCTGCCTGCAGTGCCAGCATCCCATATGGGCCCCTGTTTGAGTCCTGGCTGCTCCACTTCTGATCAAGCTCTCTGCTATGGCCTGGGAATGCAATAGAAGATGGGCCAAGTCCTTGGGCCCCTGCACCCACGTGGGAGACCTGGAGGAAGCTCCTGGCTCCTGGTTTCAGATCGGCACAGCTCTGGCCGTTGTGGCCATTTGGGGAGTGAACCAGCGAATGGAAGACCTCTCTCTCTCTCTCTCTCTCTGCCTCTCCTTCTCTCTCTGTGCAACTCTTTCAAGTAAATAAATAAATCTTTAAAAATAAATAAATAAATTTCCTGAAATTTGCTAAATGATGGAGAGTATTTACTGCTTGAAGAAGTTTTATAGTTATAAGATACATTGATTAATGAAGAGTTAAAGGAAGATATACTGCTATGTACACATTGTACATTCAAATCCAATATATCATGCTACTGGACATATAAGATATTTTTCAAAATTAAATTTTACTCAATCTCAGTTTTGTCTCCTCCACTGCTTTAAAAGCCAAAATTCCTAGGATTTTACCATGACAAAAATGTATCTGGAGATTAAAGGTTTATTATAATTGATTTCAAATTCAGAAGGATCTTAATCCAGGTTATTTTTAATACTATTTATTTATATTTATTTGAAAGGCAGAGTGAATGAGAAAGAGCAGGAGAGACAGAAAGAGAGATCCTCCATTCACTGGTCACTCCTGAAATGGCCACAATGGCTGGAACTGGGCCAGGCTGAAGCCAGGAGCGTGGTCCATTTGGGTCTCTATGTGTATGGCAGGGACCAAAGTACTTGGACCATCATCCCCTGCCTTCCCAGGCCCATTAGCATGGCGCTGGATCAGAAGTACAGCTGCTAGGGCTACACCTGGTACTCCAGTTTGGGATGCCAACATCAAACGCAGCCCCTTATCCTGATGCTCCACAACGCTGATCCTCCCAACCCCAGTTAAATTTATCATGGCTACTTATCTTCACCTTGTCAAGTTATTTACATTTTCTGATCCTAGTTTGACTTTTATGCAAAATAAAAATACAGTAGGATCTATCTCTAAAATTGTCATAATGGCTTGTGTTAAGGCAGTGCCCCAATAAACCATGTTTTCTATTTTGCTTTACTATATCAAGATAATGCCTCCTGTTTAAATATAAGAATAAAATAATGCCTAAGAATAGCTGATTACTAATTAATTAGTAACTAATTTAGCCAATGACCAAAATGATGCAGAATCATGTCACCAAATATTAATGCCAAAGTAAGTTTATTAAATAACCTAATTTAAACATTCAAGCAATATGAAGAATTCTTGTACTTTCAACTTTTTCAGTCACTAAAGCACAGTGCATGTTCCATCTTTGCATCATATCAGTTGCAGAATATACATATAGTGATTTGTAGTGGGATTTTTATTTACCCTCTGTAACTTCTCTTACCCTTTCCACCCTGTCCTGTGCCCTAAAGCCATCTGTCTCAGATTTGGTTTGGCCAAGAGCAGAAGCCAGCAATAGATTTGAGAGAATCAAAACAGAATAAGGCTGGGGTGGCTACCTTCCTCTACTGAACGACAGAGCTCCTAATAGGTGGCTTTTTTAAATACATATGGCTCTTGATTGATAATGGTTCAACGTCTTTTTTTTTTAATTTTTCCTTTATAAATTTGTGAAGAACATACACAATTAGTAGCAACTGTACTCTGAATTCTGGTATTTTCTAAGGCTGACATAACAGTACATGGCAGCATACTCTGTGCAATGCTGGGCAGCCGGGCAGCATCCGTGATCCACAGCTCACAGTCAGCCACGATCCTGGAGGTAATCAAGCAACACTCTACAGTGCACTGGGTTGCTAAGCTAGGATGTCTGGTAGCTTAGGTGGAATCAATTCTTTTTTACCTTGTCACACTTTCAACTTAGAATGGGCTCATCAGGACAAAGCTCCACCGTAGGTCAAACAGCATCTGCAGTTGTATATATACACAGATGCCCTCTACTTGCCCCTTCAGGCCAAGGACTTTCCATGGTGTGACTTGGGTGGCAATATCACCGAACCCTGTCCTCAACTTTTAAATAGTCCTCTCATGGCATTTTTTTCTCAGTCATCCCCATGTGAGAGTACTGTCTCCTTCTCCCTGAGACCCAAAATGACCCACTGAGATGCACTGACTACAAGAAAGTGACACTGATGGCAACTCTTCCAGTCTTAGTAAGCTTTGGTCAGTGGGTTCTGCTGCTCCTATGAACACTCTCCACCACAGGACTCAAAACACATCTGACTTGCACAAGACCTTCTGAGTGATTACCCTTTTGACTGCCCCTTTCACTTCATTGTTCCTCAGGCTGTAGATGATGGGGTTCAGCATAGGGGTGATGACAGTGTAGGACAATGACACAAGCTTCTTGCTCTCAGAGGACTGACTGGATTTGGGTCGTAGGTACGTCAGGCTGGCTGTTCCGTAGAAGAGAGATACTACAATGAGATGCGAGGAACAAGTGGAGAAAGCTTTCTGGCGGCCAGTAGCCGATGGCATCCTCAGAATGGTTGCGATGATGCGAGTATAGGAGACCAAAATCAGGGAGAAGGGAAACATGATAAATAGTAGTGTGGAAGCAAGTGCTTGCATTTCATACATGGTTGTATCCTCGGTGACTAGTTTCAACACTGGAGGACCATCACAAAAGAAATGGTCTACAGCGTTCGGTCCACAGAAAGGAAGGGCCATCATCCAAGCTGTCTGTAGCATAGACACAGGGACACCGGACATCCAAGAACCTATGGCCATCCACAAGCACAGGGACCTGTTCATTATGACTGAGTAACGGAGGGGGTTACAGATGGCCACGAAGCGATCATAAGCCATCATAGAGAGAAGGAAGCATTCGGAGCTGCCAAAGAAGAAGAAGAAGTACATCTGGGTTCCACAGCCCACAAAAGAGATGGTTTTCTTTGAGGACACCAGATCTACCAACATCTTGGGCACCATGACCAAGGTGAAGCAGACTTCCAGAAGGGACAGGTTTCGGAGAAAAAAGTACATGGGTGTTTGGAGAGCAGGATCCACACTGGTAACTGTGACAATGAGAAAGTTGCCCAACAAAGTGACCATATAGATGGCCAGGAACAAGGTGAAAAGGGAAACTTGCATCTTGGGATTGTTTGTAAATCCAAGGAGAATGAATTCAGTGACTCTGGTGTGATTTTCACAGACCATATCTTAGGCCAGTTTCAAAGAGCATGTATCGAAACATCTTCTAACAGTATGGAAACAAGCTCAAAAATGACTTTTGTAAAATCCATAAAGCACACATCTGTTCTGAGATGTTTCACTGTTTGGTTTCTCTGAAGCAGAAAGAATATTTATAATAAGATAATGAAGGAAAAAGGAACATTTTGCATTATTCTTACCAATTGTTTATCACCTTAGTAACAGTTTTTCTATCATCAGAGTCATGGTCTGCAGCCCCAATTTTCCTCCAGAGGCATGGTATTTGTTAGGCTTAAGTAGAAAGAGTTTAAACAAAGAATAGAATAGGATATTCTACCGACCTTTTAGTCTGAATGCTTATTAAGTTTTTGATAATATTGCAATTTCTTTTTTAAGTATTTCTTAACAGTAGTTGTACATATATATGTGCTACAGTGTAATATTTCAGTACATGTATACAAAGTGTACTGATCCAGCCAATGCAATCAATATTTCCCCTTCGTTGACACTACCTTATCATTGGAGCCTTGGAGCTCTTTTCTTCTGCTTGCTCACAAAATGTATAAGGAGTGAATTATCATTACCCCCACTCTGCTGTGTAACACTGGAAACTTTTTCCTTTGTTGTTCTAACTCTGATTTGGTACACATTATACAAATTCCCTCAAGTAATTACTCTTCTATGACTAGATTGGATGTTTTAGTTTTCACATATGAGAGACAGCATATGGTATTTATCTTTCTGTGTCTTGTTTATTTCATTTCATACAGTGTCCTCCATTTCCATCCATTTTGTTGCAAATGACAAATTTAGTTCTTGTTGTAGCTGAATAATATTTTATTGCATACATATACTTTTTTAAATCTATTCATCTGATAATGGACACACTGCCTGATTTCATGTTTCAGCTGTGTGAATGGTGCTGCAATAAATATGGTGAAATGGATGTCTCTTGACTTCATACCTTTTGGATATATACCCAGTAGAGGAATTGCTGGGTCACATGGAGAGCTATTCATAGTTTTTAAGGAACTCCAAACTGTTCTCTATATTGGCTGTATCAATTTACATTCCCATAAACAGTATAGAAGAGTCTCTCATTTTCTGCATCCTCAGCAGCATGTGTTACTTTTTGTTTGTTAATAGCCCATAATTTCAGGATGCAACAAAGAAAATAATGGACTGGTTTGACTTTCTAATCTTTACTATATTAATCACATTTCTACTGAATGAAGTGCACCTTACACCATTTCATCCACCATACACATACATTTACATAGATCAACACACACACTCGGAGATATGTGCATGCTTATGTGAACAGCCCAGCAAATAGATGTCATTAAATAAGTAAACAATCGTATGTTGATTCATGCTTTCAGTAGTCTTCGTGGGTCTGCTAACTTACGTGATTTTTTCTATTTTCTCTCAAAGCATCGTTCGACTCCACTGAGCCCCCACTTCTTACTATGTACGTAGTTATAGTCATTTTGTTTTAGTAGACCTGAAAAAAGAAAAAAAACAGCCCTCTGAACAAATATGACTTGCAGTAGAAAACTCATCCTCCCAACACTGAAGCCCTGGCATCAGAACAGTTCTGCCCGTGACTGTCCATCTTCCCCGAATATGGTCATAGGGGGAGCTTGCTGTGCTTACCAGTCCATGCCTGCTATTATCAACACTTACTATTAAACATCTGCTGAGCCACTCACAAAACTAATTCAACTATTGTGAACTCAAGCGCTGCATCTGACTTACAGTGCAGTATTTTGGCTAACAATCAAATCATCACACAAATTTTTCTGTGCAAGTAGTTCTTAGTAATAGCACATCAAGCATTGGCAACTACAGGAGCATGTATGGAAAAGTACACATTTACCGTGCTACTCTATACCTAAGCTGAATGATATATTCTACACCTTGCTTTATTTTTTCCATGCTTAAGGAAAGTTTCATTACTTGTTTTCCAACAATGCTTTTTTGCAATCCACAAATGCAAATTTAAAATAACATGTTTAAAAAAATTGAGATATAAAACAAATCACAAATAAGTATTTGGGTATTTCTTACCAAATAAAACCTCTATTTCTTCTTGAATTACAAGTTTGTGTTTTTTCTTCTTTTATTGAATTTTTTCCCAAAAAATCATTTCTTTAATGAGTACAAATTTCATAAGTACAACATTAGGAATATAGTGATTCTTCCCATAATTAGAAGTTTGATGACTTTTCCAAAAATGGTGTGCAATATATTCAGAGAAATGATAACTGACCCTGAAATAGATCCACAGCTAAAATCTTGAGAATTAAGCAAATGACTCAGGCAGAATCACCTGCCTAATCTTGGCTCTGTGCAGTTGATGTATTTTATGATACCATTTAAAAGTGTGATGGGCCTTGGGGAAATGATCCCTGAGACAATAGAAAGAATCTATTAATTGAACAATAATTTTCATCTCATGGGGAGGGGAATATAGAATGCTCATGCACTTGTCTATATTTCCTAGTTCTCAGGTCTGAGTTCACTGTGTGTCTTTCAATGATGGGCACTTTGTTGTGAGACTATTGGATGCATTGGTCAAGTCCCTTAAATTTACAACTATGAATATGTGACAAGATTATGTGAAAAGCATAGATTTCCAGCTTTGTTATCTGTAAATGTAATTTATTTTGTTACATTGTGATTGAACATTGAGGAGAAAAATGTATACTATGCCCTTCAGACTTACATGCTTCTTAAATTTTTAAACTAACTCCTGAAAATACCACTATTTTAATTTTTTTAATTTTTTAATTTTTTTTAAATTTTTTAATTTTTTTTTTTTTTTGACAGGCAGAGTGGACAGTGAGAGAGAGAGAGACAGAGAGAAAGGTCTTCCTTTGCCGTTGGTTCACCCTCCAATGGCCGCCGCGGCCGGCGCGCTGCGGCCGGCGCACCGCACCGATCCGATGGCAGGAGCCAGGAGCCAGGTGCTTTTCCTGGTCTCCCATGGGGTGCAGGGCCCAAGCACCTGGGCCATCCTCCACTGCACTCCCTGGCCACAGCAGAGGGCTGGCCTGGAAGAGGGGCAACCGGGACAGAATCCGGCGCCCCTACCGGGACTAGAACCCGGTGTGCCGGCGCCGCTAGGCGGAGGATTAGCCTAGTGAGCCGCGGCGCCGGCCTGAAAATACCACTATTTTAAACATGTATTTGATCAAAATATTTTTAAAAAATTATCTATTTCAAATTCAATTGATAATTGGAATGATGATAATTGGCATGCATTTTACTGTAGTCCTACACCTTAGAGAGTTTAGTAATATCATGTAATGTATTTTAAATAATATACTTAAATTTATAATATTATATAACATTAATTACATATTTAAAATAGTAAACATATTAAATATATATTATATAGAATATAATATATATTTGTGCATATTTATATATTATGTATTTTATATATTGTATTATACACAATATATTATACACAATATATAATACAATATGTAATATATTGTATTATCTACAATATATAAAATATATTATATTATGTAATATAATATATAATTTATATTATTATATATGTATTATATATTATATTACATAATATAAATAAACATTATATTATCATGTGTTATATTATTATATTGTAATATATACATTATATTGTTATATGTGTTTTTATATACTATATTACATAACATAATATATATGAAACATATAAAATATATACAATATGTGGTAAGGATATAATATGTGCTAAGTATATAATATATGTTATTATAAATCATATAATATATAATATACACATCAAGCATATTACATCTGCCATATAATACATACTATATCATATAATACATAAAAACAAAATATTATATACTATATCTGAAACATGTAGTATATATTGCATATAATATGATATGAATATTATTTATCATAACTATATAATATATGATATATACCATACAAATTTATAATACATACTCTATAATGTTATATATCATATGATATTGAAAATGTCATATGATATATAATAATTCATATATAGCATATAACATCATATATGTAAAATCTATTATATACTATTATATTGACTTCATGTATTATATTATGCATAATATGCTATAATATATATACTATTAAGTTATAGTTGCACATAATAAGCTAAATTATATATATTTGTATCACATTATATACCTTTTATGCTAAATGGTGAATAGTATATAATATATGTAATACATTATATCATATGTAATATATTTAATGGTATATATGTGATAGTGCATTGTGTGTTATATATTATATATTTTATAGCTGTATAACATAATTATATAACATAATGAAGTGTGAACATATTATATTATATATGATATATTAAGTATGTGACAATATATATGAGTTATTAGATACCATATATTATATAATGGTTTATTATTTAATTATAGATAATGTATTACATGATATATGTAGATTGTTTATATATCATATAATATATGTCACACTGTGTTATATGTAATATATGAGTTATATGTCATGTATCATGTATATTATGTGCAGAATATATTATGTCTTATATATGTTATATGTATTGTATATTGAGGAATATTATATAATATATAATAATAAATATATAATTAATTATATATCATCTGATATATGTTATATATCATGATACATAATAATGCATATGTAATATATTATATAATTGTGATATATAAATGATACATAATATATTGTCATATATGCTTCATATATTGCATTATATATTATATCATATATACTATACATTATATAACATCATATATGCTTTTCATATAATGATGCATGTAATATTATATAATATCACATATATACTAGTAAATATAATATAAATGATATATTTCATTTATAATATATTGTTTATTATACACTTTATGTGTTATGTGTCTCATATTATGTATTATTATTATATATTATTTACATATATGTTATATAGTATATTACAATATTACTTATATTGTATTATTGCATTATATTATTTATTATATAGTGTATATTATGTATCATTTATTATATGTGTAGATTATATGTTATATATCATATGATACATGAATATACTATCATCTTATATATCATATATGATATATGATTTGATATATTATATATTATATGATATATAATATATTCTTTATTATCATATTACATATCATATCTTGCGTATTGCACATAATATAGTAATATTATATATCATCATAATGATATAATTATTAAAATATAACTATAACTCTAAGGTATAGGACAACACTAATATATATATAGTTATATTATAAACAATATGGGGATTCATATAAGTTTCCATGACAGTAAAATCTCATAATATTCAGCATGGTCAATGACACAAAGAACCAGAATTTTTTTCTTATTTTCCTAATCTGTGAATTATTTATCCTTAGAACGTCTGCATTTATTTTCATCTCAGAAATTAACAGTATACTTTGCAATATTTTTCATGTACTAACAAAACTGTGGAAGTAACTTCCTTTATTTATTGCCACTATATTTGTTGCAGAACCATGCAATGGGTATCATGGTAATCATCCTGGTTGAACATGTTTCATGTTGTAATATTAGACTCGCCCAGAAACTGCTCTTTTCCTCTCGATATTTTGATTAGACACAGTGGCAGGGAGTAGATTTGAAGAGTAAAACAGACATGGATCCAGTCTCAAAAAGATTGCATTTTAATCATTCTCATCTCATGAAAGTTTTCTTGAGAAAATAAAGAATGAAGAAATATCAGCAGGAAAAAATACTCTCCTACAGCTGATGAAATAAAAATCACCATATGATTTGTTGATCTAGGATTTGGTCTGTAACCAAATTTCAGTTTGAGAACTTCAGTGTGGGAATTCAACCAGACCATGTTAGCTGCCAAGGCTTGGTTATCAGTTTGGAGGCTGAATGTCCCTCAATGCCCCGTGTATTAGAGGTTTGGTTGCCAAAGTCTTACATCAATGATACTAAGAGGGTGAATATTTGATATAAAGATAGTGTTTGAAGGTGGGGTCTTTGGGAGGTGATTGGATTGTGTTTCACATTAGTGTGGAGCCCCCACATTGAACAGACCCATGTTACCCTCCTCCCCACATGACACTCTGCTCCCCTCCAGGCTCTGCAAGCCAACACCATCACCAGAAGCCAAATCAATGCACCTGCTCCATCTTGGATTGTGCACCTCCAGAACCATAAGGAAACCTCTCTCCTTCCTAAGTGGGTTGTCTTGGGATTGCATTTCAGTAATAAAAAGCTGAGTAATACAATGGGGAATATACATAAATATAAATACACTCAAAGTGTATACATATGAAATGTTGTAAAATACTACTTGTGTAATTTAAACTGGAGATGTGTTTTTTTAATAACCTGACTACCCTTCTCTACTAACCTGGAAGTTACTTTATACAAGTCACAGAGCTTCGTAATTTAAATAGCACTGGAATGTTTCCTTAAAAACAAAATAAAGATCTGAATCTATCTTTCTTTTTTAAAAAATTATTTATTTATTTATTTATTTGAGAGGTAAAGTTACAGACAGTGAGAGGGAGAGACAGAGAGAAAGGTTTTCCATCCTCTGGTTCACTCCCCAAATGGTCTTAACGGCCAGAGCTGGGCCAATCCAAAGCCAGGATCCAAGTGCTTCTTCTGTGTGGGGCTCCATGGGATGCGCAGCCATGGAGCCCCCACGTCAAGGTCGGTCTGATAGCTGTTGCTGTGTCTTTATCACAAGGCAGATGTTGCTAGTTTCGGTAAGGGCAATGCTTTCCCACGGTCGGGACTTTCCAGAGGAGTTGAAAATGTTGTAAACAACAAGATGGCGCTGAGGACCGCGCGGTGAGCCTGCCTGCTGCGTGACACCTCATCTGATTGGCCCGAGGACACATGCACACTGCGTGAACAGACAGCGGATTGGAGTGTTCCGTGCATGGACTTGAGCCCGCTTGCAATTGGCCAGATATTGTATATAAGCTGTGCGCTGAGGAAGGAGGGGGCTTTTCTGTCCACTCTCCTCCCTTCATTCTTTCTCTGTCACTGTTATTTTCTTATTAAAAGTCTACTGAAGACCGATAAGCTGCGAACAGTGTCATTCCTTTGTGGGCAAAGGAGCGACACTTCTTGGTCTCCCACACTGGTGCAAGGGCCCAAGCAGTTGGACCATCTTCCACTGCTTTCCCAGACCACAGCAGAGAGCTGGATCAGAAGCAGAGCAGCCAAGACTCGAACCAGTGCCCATATGGGATGCTGGCACTGCAGGCAGAAGCTTTACCCGCTACACCACAGTGCCGGCCCCTCCAGTAAACTTTTGCTGCCATCTAACAATGATCCCCTTCTCATGTTCCAGCAAAACTCCTTTCATTTCCACCGTGCCAGCTGTGCCTTTAACATCTGTATTTCTGCTACCAATCTGTTCATGGCATCTCAGCATTCTCTCAAGCAAAAACACAATTGTTATCCATTGTACTGAAACTTATTTAGAAACAGGAATAGAGGACAACACAAAGGAAAAACCAACCATGATACATGTGAGACAGCATAATGTCAGACCACAGCCTTACTCCTTTGTACCTATGATACACTGAAAATTACTTAGCTCTATACCTGAGTTTTGGTCTCTCTATGAGGATAACCATAATAATTCTTCTAGGGAGTTGCCAGGAAAATTAAATAAGGTAGCAGTCTTCTACATATGAATTGTCAAACATTCTAATGAAAGGTAAAAATATTAGCTGTTAATCATATTATCACTATTATAAAATGATCTTAATACTATACTAAACACTATTAACATTACAAATTTACTTATTTAATTTTTATTTATTTGGAAGACTGAGAGAGGGAAAGACACAGACAGACTGACAGACAGGGATCTCCTATCTGCTGGTTCACTCCCCGAATGTCCACCACAGCTGACACTGAGCCAAGCTGAAGCTGGGAGCCAGGAACTCAGTATAAGTCTTACACTTGTATTGGATGTCAGACACCCAGCCCTCGAGTGCACGGATAGCTGAAACTGAAGTAGCACAAGAAAAGTTTTGAATGACATTACACTGGACCCTTATCACTAATCGAATACTGTAAGCAAGAGAACTCTATATAATACCTGCGTTTGTTTATAATTGCTCTATAATACATGATAATTTTGAATTAATATTTTAAATCAAGAATTGAAATTCAACATAGACTCTTTTTTTTTTTTTTTTTGACAGGCAGAGTGGACAGTGAGAGAGAGAGAGACAGAGAGAAAAGTCTTCCTTTTACTGTTGGTTCACACTCCAATGGCCGCCGCGGCCAGTGCACCGCGCTGATCCGATGGCAGGAGCCAGGTACTTATCCTGGTCTCCCATGGGATGCAGGGCCCAAGCACTTGGGCCATCCTCCACTGCACTCCCTGGCCACAGCAGAGAGCTGGCCTAGAAGAGGAGCAACCGGGACAGAATCTGGCGCCCCGACCGGGACTAGAACCCGGTGTGCCAGCGCCACAAGGCGGAGGATTAGCCTAGTGAGCCATGGCGCCGGCCAACATAGACTCTTCTATATCCAAGATGTGGGAAAGAAACACATGAGTGGAGACCCTCACATCAAGTGTTAAAGCTCACAATTCTGTGGCCTGAATATCACAGTGAATAGCAACAATACAAAATCTGGTCCTGTCCTTGCCTTTTCTCTACTTAGCACCCATTCTCTTGCCAGTTAGGACCAAATGTCTCCAACCTTCTGCCACTACTGGCTGTTGTAATTTTTTTTTTTTTTGACAGGCAGAGTGGACAGAGAGAGAGAGAGACAGAGAGAAAGGTCTTCCTTTTACTGTTGGTTCACCCTCCAATGGCCGCCGCGGCCGGCGCGCTGCGGTCGACAAACCGCGCTGATCCAAAGGCAGGAGCCAGGTGCTTCTCCTGGTCTCCCATGGGGTGCAGGGCCCAAGTACTTGGGCCATCCTCCACTGCACTCCCGGGCCAGAGCAGAGAGCTGGCCTGGAAAAGGGGCAACCGGGACAGAATCCAGCACCCCAACCAGGACTAGAACCCGGGGTGCCGGTGCCACAGGCAGAGGATTAGCCTAGTGAGCTGCGGCCCCGGCCTGCTGTTATTTTTATAATTCAAATTTGCTTTCAAAAAACTTTGATGTGCTTCATCTTCTTACTTCTTTTTCAAAGTTACTGATTTCCAAAGTTACCAATGGCCAAGGTGGAGCTAAAAATGAACAGATATTGAAAGCAACTTGTTCACAACTTCTCAGAAAAGTTTGGCACAGTTAGGCATTCTCTCTTTGAACACTCTTCTCATCCCTTCAAAAATGCCATATTGCTGGGTCAGGGTTGTGGTGCAGCAGAGTAAGCCACAGGCTCTCTCCTGCAATGTTGCCAGCCCATATTGGTTATTGCTGGAATCCCAACTGCTCCCTTCCGATCCAGCTCCCTGTTAATGCACCTGGGAAAGCGGCAGAAGATGATCCAAGTACCTGGGTCCCTGCACCCATGTGGGAGACCCAGATGCAGCTTCTGCCTTCAGCGTGGCCCAGATGTGGCTGTTGCAGCCATTTGGGAAGTGGATAGAAGCATGGATGAGCTCTCTCTTTCTCTCTCTGCCTCTTTCTCTCCATCCCTCATCCTTTGCCATTCAAAGAAATAAAAATAATTTTTTAAAATTTGTTTGTCAAATGGGATTACCTCAAATTAAGAAGTTTCTTTACAGCAAAAGAAACAGTCAGGAAAGTGAAGAGGCAACCAACAGAATGGGAGACATGATTTGCAAACTGCACAACTGATAAAAGATTAACAACTAGAATCTATAAAATGATCAAGAAACTCCACAGCAACAAAACAAACAACCCAATAAAAAGATGGGTCAAAGACCTTAACAGACATTTTTCAAAAGAGGAAATCCAAATGGCCAATAGACACATGAAAAAATGCTCAGGATCCCTAGTCATCAGGGAAATGCAAATCAAAACCACAATGAGGTTTCACCTCACCATGGTTAGAATGGCTCACATACAGAAATCAACTAACAACAGATGCTGGTGAGGATGTGGGGAAAAAGGGACACTAACCCACTGTTGCTGGGAATACAAACTGGTAAAGCCACTATGGAGGTCAGTCTGGAGATTCCTCAGAAACCTGAATATAACCCTACCACAGGACCCAGACACCCCACTCCTTGGAATCTACCCAAAGGGAATTAAACTGGAAAAAAAGAGCTGCCTGCAACTCAGTGTTTATTGCAGCTCAATTCACAATAGCTAAGACCTGGAACCAACATAAATGCCCATCAACAGATGACTGGATAAAGAAATTATGGGACATGTACTCTATAGAATACTATACAGCAGTAAAAAACAATGAAACCAGTCATTTGCAACAAAATGGAGAATCTGGAAAATATCATGCTGAGTGAAATAAGCCAGTCCAAAAGGGACAAACATCATATGTTCTCCCTGATTGGTGACAACTGAGCACCTAAAAGGAAACCCGTTGAAGTGAAATGGACACTATGAGAAACAATGACCAGATCAGCCCTTGTCTTGACTGTTGAGGAACAGCTTACTATTTTATTCCTTTTAGTATTTTTTTTGTTCTACTTAATACCATTGGTTGAACTCTGTAATTAATACACAATTATTCTTAGGCGTTTAAGATTAACTTAAAAGTGATCTCTGTTAAATATAAGAGTGGGAATAAGAGAAGGAGGAGATGTACAGTTCGGCACATGCTCACTCGGACTCACCTCCAATGGTAGAGCTAGAAATGTGCCAGGGGATTCCAATTCAGTCCCATCAAGGAGGCTGTACCAGTGCCATCTCACTTGTTAAAGTGATCAGTTTAAGTACATAATTGATCAAAAAGATAGGTTAAGTGTCAGAGATTTTCACAATTAAATCCAATGTCTGCAAATAATGAAGGATAGAATTAAAAGGAAGAGAATGATCCTGCAGGGGAAGCAGGACACACAGCAGACTCATAGAATGGCAAATGCCTTAAACAGCACTCCGGCCTCAGAAACAACCCTTGGGGCATTCGGATCCAGCTAAAAGGCCCATGAGAGTCTCGCAGGCATGGAAAGCAAAGACACTGTGGCAAAAACGACCTGAATGAAAGATCTCGGTGAATGAGATCTCAGCAGAAAAAACAGGCCATCAAAGAAGGAGGCAGCTTTCTCTGAAGGGAGGAAGGAACCTCCACTGTGATATGGCCTTGACTAAGTATGATCAGAGTTGGTGAACCCAGGAGGCTTCCATAGCCTTGACAGCTCATGGCAAGAGCCTTGGGTGATTACTGACATCATAAATAAGAGTGTCAATTGTTAAATCAACAATGGGAGTTGCTGTGCACCTGCTCCCCACGTAGGATCTCTGTCCTTACTGTGTTGTACTATGAGAATTAACGGTAAAACTACTAGTTGAACAGTACTATATATCTTGTGAGGTTGTGTGGGTGCAGTCTGTTGAAATCTTTACTTAGTGTATACTAAGTTGATCAACTGTATATAAGGATAATTGAAAATGAATCTTGATGAAGAGTGGGATGGGAGAGGGAGTGGGAGATGCGATGGTTGTAGGTGGGAGGGAGGTTATGGGGAAAAAGCCACAACAATGCAAAGGTTGTACTTTGTAAATTCATATTTATTAAATAAAAAAATTTTAAAAAATAGAATTTATTTATTTGAAAGGCAGAGACAGACAGAGAGAAAGAGAGAGAGAGAGAGAGATCTTCTTCCATCCTCTGGTTCATTCCTCAAATGGCCGAAAAGGCCAGAGCTGTGCCAATCTGAAGCCAGGAGCTGGAGCTTCCTCCAGGTCTCTCATCTGAGTGCAGAGACCCAAGGACGTGCACCATCTTCCAAAGCTTTCCCAGACGCAATAGCAGGGATGTGGATCAGAAGTGGAGCAACCAGGACCTGAACCACGCCCACATGGGATGCCAGCACTGCAGGCAGCAGCTTCATCCACTACGTCACAGCGCAGGTCCCATAAAAACAATTTTTAAAGAATACCCGAAACACACAAGGCTTCATTTTTTCTCAGAGGTTACAGGAGAAGCACCAAGAACGTGTACACTGTCTAGGGTGAGACACTACCTAAAACTCCACGCTGGGAAGCTTCATCTCAGCTTGACTGGGCCAAGGAACAGCAGGCAGCCTGGCAAGCTGGGATGCGTCTGTAGGTGTCTCCAGAGATCAGTGTGTGAGGCCGAGGGGACTTGGGAAGACCCACCCTCCCTGGGAGTGGGCACCATTGCATCTGCAGAGGCCTGGGGACAACGAGATCCAGGAAGGGGACCGCATCTGCCTCCGTCCCGCTCTTCCTCTCCTGGGAACTCCAGGCTCCATGAACTCAGGATGCCAGGGGCCTGGGTGCACAGGAGTGTGGCCTCAGATGGAGGCTTACATTATCAGCTTCCCTCTGAGGCCTCTGGATCTGGACATGAGCCAGGCTGCCTCCATCCCAGCATCTCCATCTGGCAGATGGCATGTCCTGAGACTGAGCGGCCATATCAAATGAACCCATATCCCAGTGGTCTCTTTTTCTCTCTCTCTCTGTGTCTATATGTCTGTCTGTCTATCTATCTAATCTATGTATGTATATATGTATGTATGTATGTATCTATCTATCTATCTATCTATCTATCATGTGTCTATCTATCTATCTTACCCTATCCTATCGCCTCTTTCAGAGAACCCTAGCACAAATTGCCATCCTTGGGTTTAAGATGGGACTTGTGAGAGGAAACTCACATCTATGTCACACAATAGCTTCACATGTGACTTCTCAGGGGCCGTATTTGCTCCTCATCTCCTGAACTCCGTCAATTTGTCAGAGAAAAGAAACTGTTCTGGTGGAGGACATGAGTGTCACTGAGAATGAGAAAGTTTTTCACTTGCTGAAGAGAGTACAAGAGTTTTTTTTTTAACTTATGATAAATTGTTTGCCTTAATTCCATTGGAAATTTTGAATATTCCTCACCATGCCCATTTGTGTGCTGCTGACAACTGAATCACCAATAAGAATAAAATGACTATCACACGTGGGAGTTAGGGAGGAATTGTGTTCCCTTTGCTGTACAAATACCTGAGTCATCATGTTCATTGGAGGAGATAATTATGACAAACATCCATAAAGTTCCATATTTATTTCATTGGCATGATAGGTGCATTTAAAAAAAACTTACATTTATGCATTGAAGCTTAATAATGTAATTGGCACAATAGGTTATCTCTGGAAATACATTAAAATACTAAAAAACCAAATTGCACATGTAACATCCATCCTTGTTGTTTCCAAACATAATCCTCTAGAGGCACATATAATTATGCCACACAGTGGGTACAATCCCTATGGTAGCTATTAAGAATAAAAATACTGGCAGTCCCTTAAAGCCATGTTCTTTTTCAAAATTGTAGGAAGCTCTACAAAAGGAAAACAACATTTACCTTCTAGTTCTAGCTATGTTCTCCTACTCATGATTTCCTTGAAAATTCCATTATTTTGAAAAGAAGATTTTGTTAGTTTTTATTTCCTTGGATCTCACTGTCTACTTTGGTGTAGCCTGTCTAAGCCGAACTGCAAAAATGTGTGTATAAATGTAAGTGTAACTTGAAGAAAAGTTGGAGAAATTTAAAGACAGGAACATATTATCTTTGCCTTATACCCAAGTTTTATATGACCCTTTGCAAATTTACCTAAAAGCATTCTATTTGAAAGGCAGAGAGATGGACAGAAGTCTTCTATCTGATGGTTCATCTCCCAAACGCCTGAGAGCCAGAGTCTGGAACTCCATGCAGGCCTCACAGGGAAGTGTGGGAAACCAAGAACTTGAGCCATCTCCTTTTGCCTTCCAGGGTGTGCAGTAGCAGGAAGCTGGAATCAGAAGATTTGCTGGGACTTGAAATCCGGCACTCTGGAACGGGACACGGACATTGCAAGTGGCGTCTTCACTGCTGTGCCAAATACCAGCCCCGTAGGTGATGCATTCACAGTTCTTATGTCTTCATATACTACTTACAAAACACTGTTATATACAATGACAGCATTGATAGGGTAAAAACAAACCGTCAGGTGATATCACTTAAAAGAACTGTTTCTTTAAATTTTTTGTAAAATAACAAAGGATCCACCCACAGCTCAAAGTCAGGAGGAATGCAAGCATTCCGAGTAGTAATCTAGAAAGGTGGGACAAAAGGACTCTGGGTGTCGGACGTCCACCTCCGATCACGGACTCTGGGGGAGTTTCTTGCTGTAGCTGGACAGAGAGCTGTTTTAGACAGTTGGTTCGTTGGTATCATCTGCCTCCTATTGTCTCATCGAGGCTCCAAGTCCACGATGATTGGAAATCAGACCCTCTGTACCCATTTCACGTTTGTGGCTTTTTCCTCTCTAGCAGAGTTACAGCTGGTCCTCTTTGGTGTGTTCTTAGTCATCTACTTATTTACGCTGGGAGGCAACTCCATCATTATCTTCCTGATCAGCGTCACCCCTTCCCTGCACACCCCCATGTATTTCTTCCTGGTGAACCTCTCCTTCCTGGAGATGTGCTACATCACCAGTGTGGTGCCTCAGATGCTGGTGCACCTGCTGGTGCAGAACAAGACCATCAGTGTGGCAGGCTGTGCAGCCCAGATGTACACATTTACCATCCTGGGGCTGACAGAATGCTGCCTGCTGGCGGCCATGGCTTATGACCGCTTTGTGGCTATTTGCTACCCACTGCATTACTCCCTCCTGATGGGTCCTGGCGTGTGCCTGAAGCTGGCTGCAGCATCTTGGCTCACCGGGGTGGTGGTGGAGTCAGCCCAGACCACGTGGATCTTCAGTCTGCCCTTCTGTGGAGCAGGGAGGATTCAGCACTTCTTCTGCGATATCATGCCCGTGGTGAAGCTGGCCTGCGTCGATACCTCCCACAATGAGCTGGTGCTGTTCTGTGTCTCTGTCCTCTTCATCATGAGCCCCTGCCTCCTCATTCTCTGCTCCTACATGCGCATACTTGGGACCATCGTGGGAATGCCCTCAGCAGCCGGCCGCCACAAAGCTTTCTCCACCTGTTCCTCTCACATCCTGGTCGTTTCCCTCTTCTACGGCACTGCTTTGTTCACATACCTCCAACCCAAGACAGCACACACCCCGCGAACAGACAAAGCGACGGCACTCATGTACACAGTTGTCACTCCTGCTCTGAATCCTGTTATCTATACTTTGAGGAACAAAGAAGTGAAGGAAGCCTTTCAAAGGATAACACAAAAGAATGCTCTTAGGCAAATGGCCCAAACTAGCCGTGGTAGATGAAACTTAAACTCCAGAGAGTGTACCCCGATGTGGTGATTCTTCTGTCAGTATGTACTATGATTTAATGGTTAATAGCTTAGCATCCAGGAAACCATTTGATTTGTTCTACCTTTTCCAGTGAGCATAAGCAAAAGGGACCTATGAAGTAGAATCATTCAATGTTTCAGTCATTTGTTTGCTCACCAATAGGAAAGACCCTCAAAAAGTTCACGGAGAATGCATATGATGAAAAGTTTGCGAGAATTTCAATTTTGCACCAAAGGAAACATCTATCACTATAATTTTCTCCACAAATATTTGAAGTAGGTTTCATGATCTAAGTCCCCCCCCCCCTTCCCGGCCCCGTGTGATAACCATCATTTTTCCATTTCTCTAGGAGTGATGGGCTGATGGTCAGGGTGTTTCCCTTCAGTTTACCAAAGAAAAGGAAATAGTGTTCTTCTTGAGAAAAATACTAAAGAAAATAAGATGTAATAATTTTTGGTAGCACATATGGGATACTAGAATTTAACTTACTTAGAGTCTGCTCCCTGAATTGCAACCTATACATGTTAATAATCACACGTTAAATAATAAATACTAACGAATGATATACACTGTGACACCATTTCAAATATGTAACCTTCGAGTCGGGTGAGAGACTTTGATTCTTTGGTCAAAAGTAAATTCATACTTTGCTCTTATCTATTTGTTGTTGTTTATCTTTCGTGTGAATAAAGTGTTAAGGAAGCTTCTCCCTATGTGACTTTCTCTTTCCTTGCAGTTACTGTGATCCAATTTCAATGTCATTTTCCTTTAGCACTGTAAATGCAGTCCATCTAATTAATCCTATTAGCTTGGAATCCTTAAATAGAGAAGAAGGCTTCCATTAGTCTAAAATAACTTTTTTAAAGAAACATTGATTTCTTATGGCAACCTTTTCATTAGCATTTCATGAACATGAATGTTAACCTATGATGTTATCTTGGTTTCAATACATTAGAGTAAAATCCAAATTCAAATGCAATTCATTTATTTTGAAGAACTCAGTATGAAAGTTATTCACGCAAGGGGAGCCTGCCCGTAGGCGATCCATTACTATGTTGGGCAGCATAAATGAGCACTAAATTAGAATCTTGTGGGGAAAAAATTCCTAAAACTTATTGTTGGCTAGGTCTGAATCAGTGAGGAATGCATACACCATTCACATGATGCCTCGCTTAGTGTGGTCAGTCCCAGGGAGTGTGAACCCTGACACTACAACTTTTTTGTTGACCATTGCTGACTTCTAGAAATGCTCTCTGGTACAGTGAGTGAGATATTTGGTAGCTGGAAAGCATCCGTCACTTAACCTTGAACTGGTGAGTGAGGTGGAAGAGATACAGGAGGCAACATTGACGGTCAACACTAGAAGTTCACAGAAGTGGGTGGTATATGCTGTGTAACTTATGGTGAAAAATCAGGGTGATTAGCTTTGCCATCTCCTCCAGTCTTATCACCTATATGTGTTGGGAAACTTCTCACTCCAGTTACTTGAACTCTGTACCTAGTTGTTGTAACCATAGTGACCACTTCCCGCTTTCTGTGTTTGGACTCCCATTAGCTAACCTCTCCTTATTCCCTCTTTGCTCACTCTGCCCAACCTCTGGTGACATCCAGGTCACATGGGCCAGGCTGCTATCAAGCAAGGGTCAGCCAAGGCTGCTGAACTGGCTGGCCAGGCCTTCTGCCCAGGACAGCTGGAGCTTCCTCCTGGTGCATTGGCCCTGGCTGCAGCAGGCAGTGCCCACGAACCTCAGCTCCTCAATGCTAACTGCCTACCGATCCATGTCAGCATGTCCGTCAACAAATGCGCAATGCTGAAGTCTCCAACTACCAGTGTCTCAGAGAGTACATCTCCCTTTACACTGAACAGTGTTTGCTTATCTTAATGAATTCGTTGTTGTTTGCAAGTATGTCTTCATTTACTTTTTTAAGATTTATTTTTTATTTATTTGAAAGACAGAGTTACAGAGAGAGGTAGAAACAGAGAGAGGTCTTCCATAAACTGGTCACTCCCCAGATGGCCGCAATGGCTGGAGCTGCACCAATCCGAAGCCAGGAACCAGGAGCCAGGAGCTTCTTCCAGGTCTCCCACATGGGTGCAGGGGCCCAAGGACGTGGGCCATCTTCTACTGCTTTCCCAGGCCATAGCAGAGAGCTGGATCAGAAGAGGAGCAGCCAGGAACATAACCGGCACCCATTTGGGATGCTGCTGTTACAGGCTAGGGCTTTAACCCTGCGCCACAACACTGGCCCCATGTCTTCATTTATTAAGATGTATTTTTTATTTATTTGAAAGGCAGATATATATATATATATATATATAGAGAGAGAGAGAGAGAGAGAGAGAGAGAGAGAATCTTCCGTCTCCTGGTATTTCATGTAGTTTCGGACAAGCACTCCAATATGGGACGCCAGTATCTTAATCAGCAGCTTAACCTGCTGCTGACAATGCCGGCCCCTTTCTGATGTTCTTATCATCAGGGTACAGTACAAGCAAGAATCAAATACTTCAAGTGAGCAGAAACTGAAACAACTACATTTGATAAGCAAGAAAAGAGTCCACATTTCATAAAGTGTTGAATTCATATTCATATCATTATTCATCGGCTTTCTCTCTTACCTTATGCTTAGCATTTTCAGGAAAAATTTGCATATCATCCTAAACAAATAGATGAACACACACACATATATATTTGCTAGTTCTATGATAAAATACAGCACTTTTTGTACAGTCTTTTCCTGCTTATTTGATTTTAAAGTGTGATTTTTTCTTTTCTTCTTTTTTAAAGATTTATTTTTTTTAATTTGAAAAGCAGAGTTACAGAGAGAGAGGGAGAGACAGAGAGACATCTTCCATGTGCTGGTAAAGAGATGTCTTTTATTTCTTTTCCTGGGAAGCCAGCACACCCTGACCCATTCACAACAGGGAGGAGTTTGAGAATATCCAGAAGGATTGCTTCTGGCCCTAACAAGAATTTCTCAATTGTTTAGCAAGTAAATAACAACAAAAAACTTCTTTAACTGATTTTGCAGAACAACAAAAATTTTCTTAGGTGTTTGAGAACAAAACAATATGAGATCAAATCCACTGAGACAACTGGCGGCCATTGAAATGGAGTGTGTGTGTGTAGATGTGTGGTGTGTGTGTGTGTAGATGTGTGTATGTGTGTGTGGGGTCTGTGTGGGTGTATATGTGGGTGGTATGGGGAGGTGTGGGTGTGTGGGGGAGTGTGGGTGTTGGGGGGTGTATGTGTGGTATATGTAGATGTGTGGTGTGTGTGTAGATGTGTGGTGTGTGTGGGGTCTGTGTGGGTGTATATGTGGGTATGTGGGTGGTGTGGGGAGGTGTGGGTATGTGGGGGAGTGTGGATGTGGTGGGGTGTATATATGTGTGTGTAGATGTGTGGTGTGTGTGTGTGATGTGTGTATGTGTGTGTGGGGTCTGTGTGGGTGTATATGTGGGTACGTGTGGTGTGTGGGGAGGAGTGGGTGTGTAGAGGAGTGTGGATGTTGGGGGTGTTTGTGTGTGTGTAGATGTGTGTGTGTGTGGTGTGTGGGGGTCTGTGTGGGTATGTATGGGATGGGGGGGTGGATGTTTGTGTGGATGTGGGTGTGAGGGGTGTGTATGTGTGGCGGGCAGGGTATGGGTGTGTTTGGGGAGGGGTGTGAGGGTGTGTGTGGGTGTTTGTGGGTGAGAGGTATTTGTTAAGAGTACCAAAGACTAAAATAATTTTACCCATAAACACCGAAGAAGCTGATTAAGAAAAAAATCAGACAGAATTTTAATTCTGTCACATGATATCATTGTACCTAACCTCACCTCAACTCCAAAGTCCACCAATCAGTATTTTGAGTTTAAGAAATTTGATAGCAAATTATAAATACATAAAATACCCAAGTTGTACATTTACTTGATACTCCACCTACTGTAAATTAGGGAAAAATATTCTATTTATATATCACTACACTTTTTAAAAGATCTATTTATTTATTTGAAAGGTGAACACTATACTGAATTATTCTGAATTTCTAGTTTTAGGCAGTTATTTTTTTTTACTCCATCTTTCTACACTTGTAGCAAAGATTGGTTACTATACATTCTCTCTTTAGTCTGCTGTATCTTTATATGATTATACCATTCGGGCGGCGCCACGGCTCACTAGGCTAATCCTCCACCTTGCGGCGCCGGCACACCGGGTTCTAGTCCCGGAAGGGGCGCCGGATTCTGTCCCGGTTGCCCCTCTTCCAGGCCAGCTCTCCGCTGTGGCCATGGAGTGCAGTGGAGGATGGCCCAAGTGCTTGGGCCCTGCACCCCATGGGAGACCAGGAGAAGCACCTGGCTCCTGCCTTCGAATCAGCGCGGTACACCGGCCGCAGCGCACCGGCCACAGCGGCCATTGGAGGGTGAACCAACAGCAAAGGAAGACCTTTCTCTCTGTCTCTCTCTCTCACTATCCACTCTGCCTGTCAAAAAAATAAAATAAATAAATAAATAAATAAATATATGATTATACCATTCAATGATTTTCCCTACAAATCTCAAGAATTAAATTTCACAATTGAACTATCTAATCAAACAAACCTAATCAGAATGCATCCTTTGAGACTAATAAGGACATAAATTTATTTCACAAATAAATTTCTTATAGTATAAGCAACGCAGTTATAAATTTATTTGATAGACTTCCTAAGAATTTTAACTTTATTTTAGGAGATTTTTCTATTTTCCTCGGAGAAAAGGACTGAACAAATTACATAATGCAAGAATAATCTTTGTGACAAATTTCATGAATTTAGAAAAATTTCCCTCAGATACAAACCTAAGCGTATGATTAGGGTCTGGACTGTTTTTCAGGTGGAGATGTCATTTTTTTAATTTTTTAAATTTTTGAAATGATGCTTAAATATAATTAAATAATGTCTCTTCAATTTCCACACATGGTTACCGCGCCGTAAAAGTAGGTGGTCTGTGTGCTAGTAATTATTGGTTGCTCTGACAACATTGCTTACTCCAATAGTAACGCTAATAACCCAGAATAGGATTTGGACACTTAGCGAATTTTCACCAAATTGCATATGTTTTCAGTTTAAACAATGCAATCATTTCAAGTTCCTGACTGCCAAGTGAATGCCGCGTATGGAAAGAAATGACCGTATGACTACATTCCTATTTTACTAGTTAAGAAATACCGCGTGGGTTTATTTCACCGCAGAGGAGCCAAGGCGTTTACATGGCGGCCGTGAAGAGCGCGCTGCTAGCGCCATCTGGCGGACAGGATTTAAAGTGATTGTCTCTCCATAGATGTCAGGTCTGAATTACAAAAGAATTACAATTACAATTACAATTACAATTACAATTACAATTACAATTACAATTACAATTACAATTACAAAAGAAATGACATTTTAGCTCTGGAGATAATGAGATAAATGTACTTTAATCAAAATAATTACATAGTTTAAATGGTTTAGATTGCACAGACACAGGATCACAGGATCGTCCTCTCCTTTACCGCTTCGCTCTGTTTTATGTGTCTACTGAATGAAAACATGTCATAAATGACTCATTTTTTTTCCATCTAGTTTTGTCTATACCACTTATGATTCCATGGCATCTTTCTCTTCCATATCTTATAAGCTGCTTAGGAGGAGAAGCTGCTTCTGCCGTGGCCATCAACGACTCCACAGTCGTGGGTGGTGTCCCTATCTACGGAGGAGTAGCCAAACAAATATATACTAAATGTATACTTCTAACACGGATAACCGAATTAGCTAATTCTGGTGTCAGCACATTTGAAAGGCCCAAAAAATAGAATAAATAATTGCCAGTATTGTTGAGCTTGTCCCTGACAAGTAAGATTTCACTGAAGTTGAAGTCTATACAAGAAAGCTGGAGCCATTTCCATCATCCAGGTAAGGGCTTAAGCAAGAGCTTTGATTTACTCTCAAGAGCACAAAGGATAGAGCTTTAGAAAGTGAGAGGAAGTCACAGGAAAGCAACTTTCTGCTCAGCACAAAGAAGGAAAAGCTTTTTAAGGAGAACATTTTGAAAATGAAATGAACTGGCTTCAAAAAAATGGGCTTCTATGTCCAAGAAGTTTCTCCAGGGTAAGCTGCCTGCTTATGGATTTATGAAGCATGGAGATAGGATTAATTCTAAATTATTTGTCAGCTTAAATTTTTTAACAAACATTCATGGCATCATAAAAACACAAGGTCTTTCCTACCTGAACACATTAGACACTGAGAGAGAGCACCTAAAATTTAAACCTCAGTTGTCTTTCTCCTTCCTGGCCCTCACCTTCTTGTCTTTAGGTGGAGCGTGGTTTCCAGCCTTCTGATGCATCATGCATAAACTTAAATGCTATACAAGAGAATTATAATGAAACTCCTTTTTGTTTGTTTTTAATTTTTTATTTATGTAACTTGAGCAAATGTCATGTATTTCATATACAGAGATGTAGGAGCACAGTGGTACTTCCCATCCTACCCTCCTTCCTGCCCACACTCCTGCCCTCCCTCTTCCTTCCCTTTCTTTTTTTTTTCTTTTAATTTTTACAATGAGGTATTTTCTGTCTATTTTATAATCACAAGCTTAACCCTCCACTAAATGAGGAATTCAACACGCAGTAAACAGAAAACTCACTATTTCTCAGGAGTATAGACAAGGATTGTAAACAACAACCCAATCTCAAAATGCCAATTTCACTCACATACATGAACTTTTTTGTATTCTGCATATTAGTTACCATAAATCAGGGGTAACATATGATATTTGTCTGTTGCAGACTGGTTTATTTCACTAAGCAGAATGGTTTCTAATTGCATTCATTTTGTTGCAAAAGACAGGATTTCATTTTTTTAATGGCTGGGTAGTATTCCACAATGTATGCTTGCCACATTTCTTTATTAAGTTCTGCCCAACAATCATTTGATAATCTATTAAAACTGAAATTCTCTTTCCTAATGAAGAATTATAAAAATATCCACTTGACACCAACATTATGATGCGATGGGTAAAGCTGCAGCCTGCAGCACTGGCATCCTACATGGGCACCAGTTGTGTCCCAGCTGCTCCACTTCAGACAAGGCTCCCCACTAATGGCCTGAGAAAAACAGCAGAAGATCCCCATGTGATTGGGCCCCTGCTACCCATGTGGGAGACCAGATGAAGCTCCTGTCTCCTGGCTTTGGCCTGGCCTACCCGTGGCCATCTGGGAAGTAAACCAGGAGCTGGAAGATCTCTCTCTCTCCCTCCGTAACTTTGACTTTCAAAAAAAAAAAGAAGAATCTGCTCACCTTAGGAAATGCTTTTACTCTTTAAATCATCACCTCTCACAGCTAAGACCCCTCCTCATTGCTATGTGGTAGGAGATTCTGGGGAAAGTAAATGAAAGGATTTTAATTATAGCTTAATTATTTAATGTCTAGAATTAGCCTCAATCCAAACATTTATCAAGTTTTATTGTTGGCCAATAGTTAACGTAAGGAGAGCACCTTGTTTTCCTTTGCAATGATTCTGAAGATATAAGCAAATGTTGTGTTGCACTGTTTCAATAGATGGCAGAGACTAGCCATTCTTGTTCTTTGGCTGTCGTCTGTTTTTGTCTTAAGATAGTTGATGCCACTTGCATTGGTAACAGTCAAGGGATACCTCCCAGTAATTATCTCCCCAGAGTTAGCTCTAACATGACTGGAAGAAAGCTTTTCTTTTAAAAATACATGAGTATATAATAGATGTCTGTGGTAAGACTTGGACAAAAATATTTTTCATAGCCACCCCTCAAATCCTGTGTACACTCCACTGATAGTACAGATTGCATGCATTGATATTGATATTTAATGGATGTCAAGTCCAGGGAGCACTATTGGCAAAATTAATCCATATTGCTGTATTGATGCTCTGATTAAAATCACTGTCTGAGAATACTGAATTGTACCCCACAGTACCTCAGTAATTCAAAACATATCTATTAAGTCGAAGCAACCAGACCATAGCTGACAGGCACCATGTATGTCTGATAACCACGCACCTAATGTGATCTGAATGGAAAACAAATTGTAGGAGTATTTTAACTGAGTGAAGGAAAGCAGCAAGAAAAATTGAAGTTAGTGGGGATAGAGTTCCAGGAAAGGAGATTTTACTTTCCCCACTTACTCTAGGCTGTCTATTACGCTTCATGAATAATACAACATTCCCCTGGAGGAGCACTAAACATAGATCAATTCTAAATCAACTTCCAGGGATTGAGAATTGTAAAATGGTGTGAACCAGGAGCTAAAATTTACTCTTGCAAACTTTTTTTTTTTTTTTTCAAAAAGAGAGATGTGATTAAGGGAAGATGTAATTCTCTATGGAAAGAATCAGAAATTGCGTTTGTAGGTAAATTAAAGTTACTTTTATGATGCGCACTGTTGGGGAATTCATCTAATGATGTCGACATCTACCCAAGAGATTCTTATGAGTGATGTAGTTGTATGTGTGTTAAGACAAGCATGAAAGCTGAAAAGGAAATCATACTTGTCTCTGGCTCTATTTTTGTGAATATTTACTGTGCCACTTGAAACTATTTCAAGCTTGAGCTGCGCTGTGCTAATCTACCCAGGGGTTTCTTAAGATTCTAATTTTGTTCGTTACTAAATTCACTTTATAATAGGGCCCAAGGAGACTGATTAAAATTACCAGTTATCTTCCCCAGGCTTTTCTTAAGGTAATTCATAGCAGGCTACGAAAGTTTCATTCCACCAGTGGGAATCATCTAGTTGCCTGGGACCAACCAAAGTTCATTATGGGAAAAACAGACCAACGGGTAAGACTGAGACATTGGCCCCCTTGTTCTTCATTGTACTTTGAGACTGGTGGGATCCCATGGCCCATCAACCTTCCCAAAGGTGCAAATCCCTCAATCTCAGTGCTCTTTCTAACCGATGCACTTATCCGTGACAATGGGGCGTTAATTAAAGCATCAGCTGGGAACCACACTGTTTGGAAACCATCAGAGCAGGGCTGGCTTCCAACGAGCTAACTTGAGAATGACTTTATCTTTAATTTAAAATGTTTGAGTTAATATTCTCCAAGGGCAAAGATGATTAATAGCAATAATAGAGGAGTGTTATGTAGCTTCCTGAGTGGTACCCAGGGCTTGTTGGATTAAAGGATGTAAATATCTATTGATTGTAGACACTGGGCTACTCAGAGGAAAGAGATGTCAGGAATTTGGATCAAAAGCAGAGATGGAATAGGTCCCAGGCATCCCCAGACACAGCTACACTGCCCCACAATGCCCATCCCTCAAAGATAATTTTGCAACAAAACTGCTTTATCTTTTAATTCATTTTTCCCGCAAATCTGACGCACTCTTTGAGCAGTTGTAAACATGCACAAGCCTAACAACTGACCATCAAAATATATGAAGGAAAAACTGATAAAATTGAAGCAAAATCTAAAAATTATTGATTAATAGCTGAAGACTTCAATACTCCACTCAAAAATGGTTAGAACAATCAGATAGGAGATAAGTAAGTAATCAGACGACTTCAGCAGCAAAATGAACCAAGTAGATCTAAAAGATATATACAGGACACATTACCACACACCATAGAACACACTCTTTTCAAGTGCACTTGGGACATGTATTAACATGGATCGCATCTTAGGTCACACTTAGAAGTCTAAATAGTTTTCAAAACATGGGTACCATAGAAAGTGTCTTCTATCATGTAGGATGAAGTGAAAAATGAGCACAGAAGACAAACTGAAAAATTTACAACACATTCTTAACCAATGAATAACTAAAGAAATCAAAATGAAAATTATAAAATACTTAGAGAGCAAGGTGCAAAATACACAACATAACAAGATTTATGGAGCATGGTGATAGCATTGTTAAGGGGGCAGTTTATAGCTATAGATATTTACATTAAAAAATAAGGAAGATCATTAAGTTACATAACAAAATAAGGTAGTAAGAAACAAAGGATGCAAGTAAGTGTTGTGGCACATTTGGTTAAACTGCTAGTTGAACATTAGCATTTCATTATCAGAGTGCTTGGTTTGTGCTCGCTTCGGCAGCGCATATACAGAGTGCTTGGTTCGAGTCCCAGTTACTTCAGGCTTCTGATCTAGCTTCCTGCTAATGTGCCTGGGAGGCAGAGGACGATGATCTCAGATACCTGGGTTTCTGTCACCCATGTGGGAAACCAGGACAGAGTTCCTGGCTCCTGGCTTTGGCCTGGCTGAGCCCAGCTGTTGTGGTCATTTGGAGAGTCAACCGGCAGATAGAAGATCTCCTCCCTGTCTCTTCCTTTCTTATGGTCACTCTCTCTTTCAAGTAAATAAATAATCTTTTTAAAAAATAAAAGAACAAACTAAGCCCAATGCCAGCAGAAAGAAGGAAGCTATAAATATTATTGCAGAGTTAAATAAAATAAAGAACAGAAAAATAACACAAAATCCATGAATCCAAAACTCTGTCCAATGAAGCTATATGGACTAAAAGAGAGAAGACCCAAATAAATAAAATCAAAACTGAAATCAAAAATAGATTTCACTATTAATTCTACTGAAATAAGAACAGGATCATAAAACATTACTAGGAGCAACTTTGAGCTATCTTAGAGGAGCTGCACAAAGTTCTGGAAATACAAAACTTACCAAGAATGAAATAGAAAATGTGAATGGACCTGTAGTTAGTGAATAGATTGTTTCAGTAATTAAAAAAGAAGAAGAAAATATGACACAGAAAACTCGTGGATATTATAGCTTCGTCAATGAATTCTACCAACCATGAAAGAACTAGTAACACCGTTTGTGATACATGACAGAAGCAGTGAACACGATCTCATTTTATAAGGATTGCATTACCCTGGCACTGAAGCTAGCCAAGAACATAAGAGGAAAGGAAATTACAAACATTATACACACTGGTGCAAAATCCTCAGCAAAATGCTTACCAACCAACATCAATGAAGTACTAAGAAGGATTATACGCCTTAACCAAGTGAGATTTATTCCTAAAAAAACAAGGATTGTTCACATATGAAAATCAACCAGTAATAAACCATTCTAATGAAATACAATGGGAAACACATGATCATTTCAATTGATGCAGAGAAAGAATTTTACAAAATTCAACACTTCAGAACAGAAAATTTCAAAAAACTAAGAATAAAAGGAAACTACCTCAACAACATGATAAAATTCATATCTGAAAAACAACACAAACATACTCATTTTCCTCTAAGATCAGAGACAGGAATGTCTACTTTTGCTACTTCTATTCAAAGTATTATTGGAAATGCTAGCCAGCGTAATAAGGAAAGAAGAATAAAGTACATCTGAATCAGAGGGGAAAAAGAAAAAAGATTATTGTTTGCAGGTGATACAATCTTTCAAATAGAAACCCTAAATAGTCAACAACAACCAAAAAAACCCTGATAGAACTAATAGACGAATTCAGCAAAAATCCTAAACACACTCATAGAATGATAATTTCCAGGGGACTGAGCAACCTATGTGCAATGCATACTACAGAAACAAATTACCTAAACCATAACCATAATAGGAAATCAACAAATATCTCACTAAAATTTTGAGAAATAAAGCAGGTCTAATACCAGAAAAAAAGTGAATAAATATAATTAATAAGTTTGATATAATTGACACATGAAAGTATAAAAATACATATTTATACAAAACATGTACATTTGTGTAGATAGTATATAGAAAGATAGATCCAAGGCCGGCGCTGTGGCTCACTTGGCTAATCCTCCACCTGCGGTGCCAGCACCCCAGGTTCTAGTCCCGGTCAGGGCACTGGATTCTGTCCCGGTTGCTCCTCTTCCAGTCCAGCTCTCTGCCGTGGCCCGGGAGTGCAGTGGAGGATGGCCCAAGTGCTTGGGCCCTGCACCTGCATGGGAGACCAGGAGGAAGCACCTGGCTCCTGGCTTTGGATCGGCACAGCACGCCTGCCGTAGCAGCTATTTGAGGGGTGAACCAACGGAAAGGAAGATCTTTCTCTCTGCTTCTCTCTCTCTCTCTCTCTCTCTCTCTCTGTCTAAATCTGCCTGCCCCCAAAAAAATGATAGATCCAAAATGAATGTATACAGTTTTCAGTTCAGCATGTGAGCAACAATTACAAAAACGGTCATGAACTAGGCAATAATCAAGTTAGATCCATCACAACTCAAGATACTTATCATGTAGATCTCAATCTCAGTAAGGGCTGGCGGGGTGGCACAGTGGGTTAATCCTCCACCTGCAGTGCCGGCATCCCATATGGGTGCTGGGTTCTGGTCCCGGCTGCTCCACTTCCAATCCAGCTCTCTGCTGTGGCCTGAGAAGGCAGTGGAGGATGGCCCAGGACCTCTCTGCCTTTCAAATAAATGAATAATCTTTAAAAAAAAATAACTTTCAGTAATGACAACACCTAGCTAAGCTAATTTTATGAGAATTTTACTAGGGTTTGAAAAACATTTTATTTTTACTTAAATTATTTCAGTGACAGAGAAAGGGCTGATTACCCACTTCCTCAAAAATTTTGTGCAACAGTGATAAGAAAACCATAAAAATAGGAGAGGGTGCTTTAAGAAAGTTCAGGGACTAACTCTTCAATAACACAAATACAGGTTTCTCAAAAATATTATTAGCAACTGAATTCATCAGAGATAAGGAATCCAAAGATGTCATTAGTGTTGAACATTAGGAAGTCTAAACATTTAACTGTCACACTCACAGTTTACAAGTCAACATTTATATATCCAAAAATTACCTAAATGATGCAGAGAAAAGCACTCATACAATAATATGCAACTTCTTTAAAAATTTTTTTTGCAAAACAGGAGTGGAAATTGCATGATTTGAACATGAGTAAATTTTTTAAAAATTTACAATCACAAATTCTTAGTGGGAAAATATTAGCAGCAATGTTTAAAATTAAAAAAAAAATAAAAAGAAGTCTTTTGGTCCTGGTCAATTAGTATGACCAGAATTGAGTAAAAATTTAAAAGATAAAGCAAAATAATTAAGCCAGGTAGGGAATCTCAACAAATTATCTTGTAGTGTGAGAAGACAGTGGAAAATTACTGCAGCTGGAGGAGGAGAACGGAGAAAAACAGTATAAACAAATTCAGTCTCTGAAAAGTTCTAGGGAAATGCAATTAAATGTTAAGTTTGCTTTTAGGGCAAAAAAAAAAAAATCCCACACATTTCCCATGAAGTTCTTGAAGACCCTTCATTCTTGGCACTTGGAATGACACCTGGAGGCGGGCCAGTAATTGTTGCAAAGGTCACACTCCTGAGAGCACAGTTCACTTCCTTCCAGTTTCACAGTGACCCTGACCACCATCAGGTAGCAGCGGAACAGATAGGAGAGCTGTGGAACCCCAAGCATCTCTGGGAGGCACCCAGAGACGACCCAACTCTAGCCGGAGTGAGCTCTCCTGATGCCGCACAGTGTCAGCTGTTACCATACTACACAACACACCAGGCCTCCAAAAATGCAGGAGGCAGGAGACATACATATCAACAAGAAAATGCACATGCTGGAGAGACAAGGCGAGTACCAAAACCAGACTCAGATATAACTCAGACATTGGATTTTTCTAACAGATAATTTAAAATTAATCAATAGGTCAGCAGAAAACATAGATGGCCATAACTTTAATTTCTGCAGAAAGATGGCATGAACACAAAATATTGGGAATCCTATAAATCAACAACATAGCAGAAAAGACGAGAGATGCTCACGGCAGCTGAGTGTTCTGGCACTGCATGAAGTCGCCACATGGGACGCCAGTGTCCCATACAGAAGGGCCAGGAGCCCAGATCCTCTGCCCACTCAGCTTCCTGCTATCCCACATCCAGGAGGCGGCAGTGGTAGCTCCAGGAGTCAGGTCTCCCCACCCACATGGGAGACCAGGATGGAGTTCCTAGCCCCTGGCTCCTATATGGGCCAGGGCCGGTCAGTACAGACATCTGAGGAGTGAAGGAGTGAATGGAGCAATGTCTTTCTGTCTCTGCCTCACAAGGAAATACATTTTGAAAAATCTAAAGAAGTGAATTTAAAGAATAATTTGAGTTGGTTAAATCTTTAACCAGTGAAAATACCCTTCAAACAAATAAACAAAAAAAGTAAGACAAAGGCTTGAAGAGATTTACTGCCCACTACAAGAAATATTTAAGAAAATATTTCAGACCAAAGGAGTGTGGTGTAGGTCACAAATTGAAATCTACAAAAAATGGATGATTTAGAAATTAAATGAATAAATGTAAAATAAAATTTTATTTTTCTCATTTTTAATTACTCTAAAAGATAACTAATTATTTAGTACAGGAGCCCGAATCTACAGCCCACCAGCTAAATCTGACAAGCCGCAAGCTTAGGCATGTCTATAAGGAAAAAAATTTTTTTCTTGTATCTTTTTCTCAATTTGCAGTGAACCTAAAACTTCTCTTAAAAAATGAAGTTCAAGAACTCCAACAAAATCACAAAAAGCATTTCTGAGGAAATTACAAAAGGCCTAATTGCATGGAGGATTAATAGGAAGACTTAATGTAAGAGTTCAGTTACGCCTCAAATGATCTATACATTCAACTCCATCAAATCAAAACCCCAGTAAGGTTTGTTCTTGTATAAACTGAAAAGCACATCCTAAAATTTTACATACAACTACAAAGAACCTAGAATAACTTGAACAACTTTGAAAAGAACGAAGCTGAAAACAGCCTCAAATTCCCTGCTGTCAGATAACTTACAAACTGTGTTAATTAAGATGGTGTGGACTTGACATCAGCATACCCACGTAGTCCAAGGGAAGCAGAATTCATAAACAGATCCACACGTACAGAATAAATTGATTCTCTGCAGGGGCACAGAAGTGTTCAGTAGAAAACAAAGATAATCTTTTCAACAATCAGTACAAGAACAGTCAGATATCCATTTGTAAAAATTGAAATTTATTCATACCTCGAACCACACATAAAAATGAATTAAAATGTATCAAAGAAATAAACACAAAACCTAGTTATGAAACTATTTGGAAATGTAGGAAAACACGTTTATGACCTGGAGTTAGGCAGATTTCTTACATTTAGTACCATAGGACAATCCAAAACTGAAATAACAAGAGATTGTATTTATTAAAATTAAGAACATCTTATCTTTGAAACATGTTTAATATGATAAAATAATGAACTCAAATAAATATTTGCAAATCACATATCTTTTTTAAAGATTTATGTATTTAATTTTTTATAGTTTTTATTTAATAAATGTGAATTTACAAAGTGCAACTTTTGTATTGTTGTGGCTTCCCCCCCCACCCCGCCGCAACCTCCCTCCCTCCCGTGGCCCTCCCCTCTCCCACTCCGTCTCCCATCCCGCCCTTCATCGATTTTCATTTTCAATTACCTTCATATACTGAAGATCAACTTAGTATATACTAAGCAAGGATTTCAACAGGTTGTACTCACACAACAGCACAAGGTATAGGGTATTGTTCGACTAGTAGTGTTGTTTTTAAGTTTCATAGTAAAACACATTAAGGACAGAGATCCTACGTGGGGAGCATGTACCCAGTGACTCCCGTTGTTGATTTAACAATTGGCACTCTTATTTATGACATCAGCAATCACCCGAGACTCTTGCTATGAGCTGTCTAGGCTATAGAAGCCCCTTGAGTTCACCGACTCTGAACTTGTTTAGTCAAGACCATATCACAGTGGAGGTTCCTTCCTCCCTTCAGAGAAAGGCGCCTCTCTCCTTGATGGCCTGTTCCTTCTGCTGGGGTCTTGTTCACCAGGATCTTTCATTTAGATTGTTTTTTGCCACCGTGTCATGGCTTTCCATGCCTGTGAGACTCTCTTGGACCTTTTAGGCAGATCCGAATGTCCCAAGGGTTGATTCTGAAGCAGGAGTGCTGCCATTCTATGAGTCTGCTGTGTGTCCTGTTTCTCCTGCAGGATCATTCTCTCCCTTTTAATTCCATCCTTCATTAGTTGCTTACACTGGTCTTATTTGTGAAATCTCATCGACACATACCCTGTCTTTTTGATCGGTTGTGTATTTATACTTATCACTTTACCAAGTGCGCTGGCATTGGTACCTGCCTCCTTGGTAAGATTGAGTTGAAATCCCCTGGCACATTTCTAGTTCCACCATTGAAGGTAAGTCCGAGTGAGCATGTGTCAACCTATATATCTCCTCCCTCTCTTATTCCCACTCCTATGTTTAACAGAGATCACTTTTCTGTTAATTTTAAACGCCTAAGAATGATTGTGCATTGATTACAGAGTTCAACCAGTGGTCTTATGTAGAACAAACAGAGCAACAACAACAACAAAAAAGTCAGAGTTACACAGAGACAGAGAAGGAGAGGCAGAGAGAGAGAGATCTTCCATCCGCTGGTCCACTCCCCAGTTAGCCGTAACGGTCGGAGCTGTGCCGATCCAAAGCCAGGAGCCAGGAGCTTCTTCCAGGTCTCCCACGAGGGTGCAGGGCCCCAAGGACTTGGACCATCTTCTACTGCTTTCCCAGGTCACAGCAGAGAGCTGGATCTGAAGTGGAGCAGCCGGGACTTGCACCAGCGCCCATATGGGATGCTGGCACTGCAGGCGGTGGCTTTACCCGCCACGCCACAGCACCGGCCCCAAATCACATATCTTTATTAAGGGTATTATCTAGGATTTTTAAAATTCCAATCAATAAAAAATGAGTAATACAATGAAATTTGACAAATCTGGATATCATCAAAATAAACGATACATTTTCAGAAAACGTGTTCAACACCATAAAGAGCATAAGGAAGTTCCACCACATATGAGAAGCAGCGGTCCCCACTCAGACAGTGTTACCCCCGTCAAGAAGGCACTCAGCAGGCTGTGTGGTCTCCAGGACTGGTGTGGTTGGATTTCATCACTTCTTTCTACCTGAACGAGTGTAAAATCGGCTCTTATTGTCAATTTGAGTCCCATTTCTCTGATTACTATCAGTACAAAACATCGCAGGCAATTTTATTTTTGTTCTTCTATGATATGTATGTGAGTATATTTGGTCCATTCCCCAGTGCTTGGCTGAGCCTCTATTACAGATTTGTAGGCACTCGGTATATAATCCTGTTGGTTGTGTGTACTCTGGACACTTCTATAAAGTGTCCTTCAATGTGGAAAAAAATTAATTATCTTATATTTATAGGGAAGTTTCCTCTTACATGGTTGATGCTCTTTGTGATTTTTGAGCAATATTTTCTATTGTGTGCCCTAAATAATTTTATAATTTTTCAAGAGAGGTCTTATACATCTCTTGCTAAATTACTCCTAAAACTTTGATTTTATCTGATATTGTACTTGCTTACTGCTTTTGTATGGACAAGCACTCTTCTTCATAAATTAACCCAGGCATCTTTGTAAACTTATAAAGATTATGTAACATAAATGTAATCCCACATTTGATCATTAGACTTTTTTTTTTTTTTTTTTGACAGGCAGAGTGGACAGTGAGAGAGAGAAACAGAGAGAAGGGTCTTCCTTTGCCGTTGGTTCACACTCCAATGGCCGCCCCGGCTGGCGCACCGCGCTGATCCGAAGGCAGGAGCCAGGTACTTATCCTGGTCTCCCATGGGGTGCAGGGCCCAAGCACTTAGGCCATCCTCCACTGCACTCCCTGGCCACAGCAGAGAGCTGGCCTGGAAGAGGGGCAACCGGGACAGAATCCGGCGCCCCAACCGGGACTAGAACCCGGTATGCCAGCACCGCAAGGCGGAGGATTAGCCTAGTGAGCCACGGCGCCGGCTGATCATTAGACTTTTTATCTCTCTCTCTCTCTCTCTCTTTTTTTTTTTTTTTTTTTTTTGACAGATAGAGATAGACAGTGTGAGAGACAGAGAGAAAGGTCTTCCTTCCATTGGTTCACTTCCCAAATGGCCGCTACGGCCAGAGCTATGCTGATCCAGAGCCAGGAGCCAGGTGCTTCTTCCTGGTCTCCCACACTGGTGCAGGCACCCAAGCACTTGGGCCATCCTCCACTGCTCTCCCGGGCCACAGCAGAGAGCTGGACTGGAAGAGGAGCAACCAGGACTAGAACCCAGTGCTCATACCGGATGCTGGCGCCACAGGTAGAGGATTAGCTAAGTGAGCCATGGCGCTGGCCCCCTTTTAATCTCTTTTTGTTGCATTGCACTGATTAGATTTCTGACATAATGTTGAATTGCATTAGATATAAAAAGCATGTTTATATTTTTCCTAATTTTTAAGAAATGCATATAATATTTTCCCATTTAGAATACGTGTATTCTCAGATATATCTCAGTTGTAGATATACTTTTTATTTAATAGTGAAGTTTAGTTATTTTGTAAGTTTACTAATGGTTTTTTTTTTAATTATAACATGGTGTTAAAATTTATCAAATGTTCTTCTACAGGTTCTATGATATTTTTTCAGGATTTTAAGGTTTTTCAAAAAAATTTTTGTTAATATAAATAGAACAGATTTCATGCATTTCACAGGATAATTTCTTTTTTTTGAGATTTTATTTATTTACTTTAGAGGTAGAGCTACAGATAGAGAGAGGGAGAGACGGAGAGAAAGGTATTCCATCCGCTGGTTCATTCTTCAAATGGCCCCAACTGCCGGAGCTGAGCTGATCCAGAGTCAGGAGCTTCTTCTGGGTCTCCCACACAGGTGCAGGCACCCAAGCACTTGGTCCATCTTCCATTGCTTTGCCAGGACATAACAGAGAGCTGGATTGGAAGTGGAGCAGCGGGACTTGAACCGGTGTCCACAAGGATGTTGTTGATGCAGGCAGCCCAGCCTACCATTCCACAGCACCAGTCCCTACAGGATAATTTCTTATTCTTTTACTCAGTTAATATGGTGAGTATGGTGTTAAACAAATCTAACAATTTGCTCATAATGAGCAACTTTTATTATATTTAATTCAAGAGAAATCTCAATTTTATAATATAGAACAAGCATCCTGTGCTTAAGTTAATAAAATATTTAGAAAATAAATCTTGTGGGGCTGGCACTGTGGCACAGCAGGTTAAAGCCTCAGCCTGCAGCACTGGCATCCCATATGAGCACCAGTTTGAGTCCCCGCTGCTCCTCTTCCAATCCAGCTCTCTGCTATGACCTGGGAAAGCAATAAAAGTTGGCCCAGGTATTTGGGTTCCTGCACCTATGTAGGAGACCCAGAAGAAGCTTCTGGCTCCTGGCTTCAGATTGGCTTAGCTCTGGCCATTGAAACCATTTGGGGAGTGAACCAGTGAATGGAAGACCTCTCCCCTCCCCACCTTCCATAACTCTGTCTTTCAAATAAATAAGATTAAAAAAAAAAAGAAATCTTGTACAATAAAACACTATACAGACATTAAAACAAGATCTGAGCTTAAATTTTCTAAACTTAAGGTAATAAAAACTAGAAGTCAACAACAAAAATATATCATCTAAGTAAATTAATCATATTGAAATAGGAAACCTCCTCTAAATAACCCAGTGTGAAAGAAAAGTTAACAAAAAAATATTTATAAAACAAAGAAAATAAAAACAAATTATATCAAAAGCTATGCAAAGTTTTAAACATAACTCATTAAAATAGAAACTGAAGGTAATGTAAGCACATACACATTCAGAAAAATAAGGCTAATAAAACAGACTAACTTAGAAAAATAAATTGAGCTAATTATGTTGGTATGTAGATGTACATGCAATTTATTAATAAATTTAATGTGTATCCAGTATTTGTAATGTTTTATATGTTGCCATTTTGAATACAAAATTTTTCATAGGCAAAACAAAAATACTAATGAGTAGACATCATAACATAAATAGTTTAAAAATAGTAATATGAGGCCGGCGCCGCGGCTCACTAGGCTAATCCTCCGCCTAGCGGCGCCGGCACACCGGGTTCTAGTCCCGGTCGGGGCGCCGGATTCTGTCCCGGTTGCCCCTCTTCCAGGCCAGCCCTCTGCTGTGGCCAGGGAGTGCAGTGGAGGATGGCCCAGGTGCTTGGGCCCTGCACCCCATGGGAGACCAGGAAAAGCACCTGGCTCCTGGCTCCTGCCATCGGATCAGCGCGGTGCGCCGGCCGCAGCGCGCCGGCCGCGGCGGCCATTGGAGGGTAAACCAACGGCAAAGGAAGACCTTTCTCTCTGTCTCTCTCTCTCACTGTCCACTCTGCCTGTCAAAAAAAAAAAAAAAAACAAACAAACAAACAAACAAAAAAATAGTAATATGAAACAAAATCCTAAAGGTATGAAATCAAACTTTTGGTAAGTTTAACTGAGGGGAAAAATAGGATAAAATGTCTAGGATGAGAAACAGACATTTAAAGGAGCACACTGTTGCAAGAAGCTGGGTAATGCAGCAGGTTAAACCGCTGTTTGCATCCCCAGCATTCCCTGTCAGAGTTGCTGGTTCAAGTCCAGCTGCTCCACTTCAAATCAAAATTCCAGCTGATGCACCTGGGAAAGCAGCAGAAGATGGCCCAAGTAATTGGGTCCTGCCACCCATGTGAGAAAGCAGGTGGTTTCTCTACAGCTGTTACTGCCATTTGACTAGTGAATCAACAGATGGAAGATCTCTTTCTCTCTCACTCTGCCTTTCAAATATGTAAATCTTTAAATTTTTATAGGAATCCATTTCCTAACATTGATAATATATTAATTTGTTGTATTGTTTTATCATATTTTAATATTTGGATTCAAGAAAACATCTGTGAAAAATTATTCAAATCCAGTCAATAATACAGATTTTCAAATCAATCTATAAACTGTGAAAATAATAGGACATAAATAGAAACTAATTAAACCAATAAGCACCATACTGAGTATTTTCCAGACATTTATTTGAAGAGTCCCATGACA